AATGTCCATAGTCGAGTATTAACGAGAGTGGGATATCGTTAATGCATGTGAGACTAGTGTGTGTTGGATGTTTGACTTAGTCTCATAGTCAATGACGGTGTGTTCGCATCCGCACATGGGCAGATATTATCTAGAGATAATAGGATGCCGGACTGACCCATCCTAAAGATGTTGCTTGAACTTTTAGTTCATGCTCTAAGCATATTTAGCACGACCACGGGTGTAACTATCCTTCGACTTGAAGTATTACGTTTTCTGCATATGTGAACCCGCATACTTTGATGCATCGTCCTAAGCCATATGAAATAAGGATGGTATACAGGCTTTGTTTTGGGTATTGCCGCAGCGCGTATTCAGAAACGTAGATTACGTACATAGGATTTGTCACTACTCTTTTAAAAGAGATTAATGTCTTATGGGGCCCACTGATAAGTCATGACTGAGGAAACTGCATGGCCATGCTGAGATGTTTTTTATGACGTCTGTTCCTATTAGTCAGACTTGATAAATCAGTGAATGACTTAATGGATACAAGCTGGATTTTATTAATCCCTTGCATTAAGTTTAGGCATTGAGACAAAGGGATACAGTTACACAGAGTCTGAGTCGTGGAAAGGTTTTGACGGTGCAAACGTCTTAACTTATAATCTGGGGACAATAATGTGTTGCTAGATACCGCTTATTGTTTATAGTATTGGTGCAGAGCCAATACTATGGCTAGCTTTATAAGTGCCTATACGAGTCACACACTTTGGACAATTTAAGGAGTAGGATTAAACAATGGGATAATAAGTAATTTGTATATTTGTAAAAATAGTAAAATAAAATATTTTGGAATGTAATATTATATATATAAATATTCGGTTATATATATTATATATATGTGCCGATTAATATATATATATTATATGTTGAATATTTTATTTTGGTTTGTCATTTTAATTATGAAAATAATTATTTTGACATAAACTATTTAAAGTATATTTTTATACTTGTTTAAAAATGATGTTTGTATTTTATTTGATTTAAAATTAATTTTATATTAATTTTTGGTGTCAAATAAAATACACTTTAAACATTTGAGTGGAGAAGAATTTCACAAATCCTTCTCATATCATTGTTCGGCCAAGTGGAGATTTTAAAGGATCAAATTTCCATGATTGAAATTAGTGGAGCTAATAATGTTTTAACCTTTAGCTTAATGACAAAGTATGATTAATCAATTTGTAATCTTTGTTTTTAAATAANTTGCATACTTTCGGCCATAATATTTTCTAGTGAGATAAAATATTATTTTGGTTCCACACTTCCACATATATCATTTTGTGTATAGAAAATATCTATAATATTTTCTAAATATTATTGGAAATATTTTCTATAGAAATATACAAGATTATTATTATCCCAAATTTTAATCTTTATATTTTATACTACTATAATCTTTACTAGCATAAAGATTGTGGTAGACTCCGGCGTTGTTCCGGGAAGATCTATGGTGGACAGAGGAAGTATTATTTATATATTTAATATTAGTGTACGTATTATATTGTTACCATAATTGTATCAGCTTCCTACTATGTCTCTCCTACCATAATTAGGATTGAGATTCCTAGTATATTCACATGTAATGACCACAATTCATTAATGAAAATATTCTTTCTACACTTTTGCTGGGATCCCGTTTCGGCCGTGGCTCTTGAACATGCTCCGATCCTTCCCCTTCCTCCGAGTCTCAAACGCATTAATTATACTCCTCCAAAAGCTTGCACCTTTCAATAGAGTGTCCTTGCTGACGACAATGGGTACAAAAGAATGGAATTTTCTCATATTCCACCAATTGAAAGAAACCCTCATCTATCTTTCTTGAAACCCTTTTCTTGGGAGAGGGAAGGGGGAAAAGGAGGCTCAATACACAACATTATTCACTTAGCTTCTTCTTCGTACATTTTCTCCTTCAATTCGATGCCATAATCCAACATTGAGATTGTCGAACGCATCAAGCGTGCTCTCAAAAAATTTTCAACCAGATTTTTGCCATTCTTTTCTTTCTAGAGATTCATCCTTGCGGTGAATCCTTGTGTTCTCCCTGGGAGACTACACAGAAATTCCATTTAGAACAAAGGCTGAATCCCAATCCAGCCGACGAATGGGGTCTCCAATAAGATCCGTTCTTTTCTTTTAATCTGCAAATTCCGATTAAGATGCCACAAGGAGCAGTGTGTTTTCCCCTGCTGCCCTGCCGACCAGCAGACAGTACCAGAGCTCCGCCGACCAAAGGCGCTTAATTTTGGCCCTGAGATTTGAGCTTCTTCCACCGGCCACCATTGAGTAGAAATCTGTGTGGGTGAGACTGGACCCTCTGGGGGTTGGATTGATTGATGATTGGAGAGAGTAAATCTCTGCGTAAATCTGACTAGGCGGGGGAGCCTCGTTAATGCCTCTAATGTTTTCTGAGGGCAAACCGCAGACGATGCTATTCAGACCGGTAGACCACGACAGATGGTGGAAATTGAAGCTGCAAAACCAATTTCTGTTAGGCTAATATCAAAGAGGAGGAAAGGGGCGGACCAGATTCTGATGGGGGCCGGCGGATCAGTTCGTGCACCACCGCCAATCCCCACCCCGTTCGCCGGACTTCAGTCAGCAGCAAAGCCAACACGTTGGCAATAGAGGGCGGGCCGGCAAACCATCAACACATCTTGTTCGATAGTGAGGCACATGCGCCTGGATTTGGGCACTCCAACCCGTAAAGGGGAAAGCTCAGAGCCCCAATTTGCAGTTCCAGCTGGCTGCGCAGCGACGATTGACCGGGCTCAGTGCATCGCTCCAATCTCCGATTCCGACCCCAGCGACGACAGAGCCATGACCGGCGACATGGTGGTAGCCCAAAGTTTGGGATAAGCAAGCCTAGTGCCGCTGGAAGTAGCAGATAGCAGATCCAGCCTAAATGCCAATTCCAAAAGGCTTTATCCAAATAATTAATTTGGTGATTTAACTAGTCCAATCCGTCGTTTATGGTCAAAGATGTCAAATGTTGGTGAACCACCATTTACCAAACATGGCTAAAGTAACATATTTATAAAAATAATTTTTAATTCATTGTTTAGTAATCATTTTTTCACCAATTTCTTGCTTCTCATTTTCTTTATAATTATTTTTTGTGTCGCACACAATAAATAAAAGAAAAAGAAGATGATGATGATCGGACAATGATGGTGGTAGACGATGGTGATCGGCAAATGAGGCACAAGGTTGTGCATGTGTGTGTATGGGGGTGTGTGTATGCATACATACATACATACATACAGGGGCCGATTCAAGTGAGAATGCACCTTGGTGAAAGAAATAAGAATAAAATCTAGCCTTTGGATCTGATGCATCGTGCGGCTCAGATTGCATCCTACACTCAAATTTTGAAATAGTGCATTTTTAAAGGATTATGGTGCATTTCGACATGATTCATTTTCAAACCATTTAGATGCACCTAATTTTGATGCAATCCTGACCCTTAGATCTCACAATCTAAAGCACCAGATTTATTCTCATTTCTTTCATAAGATTGCATTCTCACTTGAACCAAAATCCATATATATATATATATATATATATATATATATATATATATATATATATATATATATATATATATATATATATATATATATATATATATGAGATTGACTCCAGTCAGATGACACTTTACGGTGAGATGACATGCTATGGTCAGATGACGCAAAGCTCACCACTGTCCACTGCAAATAGGGGTGGGCAAAAAAAACCGAACTAGCATGGTACCATACCGGACCGTAATGGTACCGAACCGTTTATAGTGTTTTCAAACGGGATTGATTTTTTTCATCACGAACCGAAACTGAACCGATACCAAATGGGACGAGACCGTGATACAAATATTTAGAACCGATCATCACGGACCGAACCGTCCAACCTATATACGGAGTACGTATCTCAAATAATTAAGGAGTATTTGTCTCTTTCATCTTACCGTAATACCGTGTATAGAGTACTTCGTATTTTATTATTCATTTTTAAACTCCTCTCATTATTATTGTTGTTATTATATTTATCATTACTATTGGCAATATTTTTTTATAGTTATTAGTATTCCGATATTATATGATTGGAAGAAATATTTTTTAACTTTGGACTCGTTATCTTTTACGGAGTATTGTTTATGTTTATGATCCGTTCAAATTTTAAATCAATACTTCTATTTAACGTTCTTGTTCTTTTTTATACAAATTTATACATTAAATTCAATATTCTTTAAGTAATGTACGCTCATTTTTTTTGGCACGGTTTGAGCATGGGTATGGTATTGTACCGTTCCGTTTCAAAACGGAATGGTACCGAATGATTTTGGAGTTCATCCCGTACCGATACCGAACCGTTTAAATAATAGCGGTCCGTGATAGGTTCCGGTAGTATCACGGACCATCACGGACCGCGCCCACCCCTAACTGCAAAGCTCACCAAGGACAACTACAAAGCTCACCAAACTGTAAGGCAAAGCTCACCATATTTTTTCAACACTTTGATTTTTTTTGAAAAAAAATCAAAGGAAGTGCATGTTGCTGACTAGACTTTGACCGTTGACCCCCTGCCGCCACCGGCCGTCGCCGCCGACCACCGCCGCCGGCCGCCGCCGGCGACCTCTGCCGCCGCCGGCCTCCGCCGACCACCACCGGCGGCCGCCGGTCTCCGTCGCACCGCCAACGCTGACCGGTGGTTGACCGGTGTTGCTATTTTATTTTTTATTCATTTTTTAATTTTCAAAATTAAGAAAAAGGTGAATTTTGGTGTTCAAAGTAGTATTCTTATTGGAATTAGATGTGATCAGATCGTATAAGATCTAAAACAACGTTAAATACAACTATAATCATATCAGAACATAATGTATTTCAATGAGATCAGAATCAATCATATGAGAACAAGCCCTATGTCCATATATTGAAAATTAAACGACAAGCATCTATTACAAAAGATTGAATATATAGCCCAATATTGCCTTCTTTTTTTTGCAAATTTTCTTATGTTCGCCAAACAAGCTCTTAATATATGTCTTATTAATTAGACTTCATTCCTATTTAAAGGATCAGCCTCGTCCCCAAGGGGTCCCTTAGACGCATCCGACGGTCATTGGGAAAAGGTAAATGTGATTTTGATCATAAATTAGTGGCAAGGAGTGAAGTCTGAACCTAGTACTTGCGAATACCCTAAAATTAGCATAGTTGCCACCAAGCACAGTTACCAGGAATCAAACTCAGATCTACCTCCTTCACACTCCCTGCCTTTGCCAACTGTACAACGCCCACAACAACTGCATTCTTGTTTGAAATAATTTAGTTACAATAAACAAAAGAAAGGATTTAGTTGTATTCAATAATACTCCCTACTTCTTAAGTTAAATCGCTAATGTTGTTTACAAGGTTTGACTGGAATTACTTTTAACTCAATTTATTTGAAATTTTGTGTGAAATAAAAAAAAAGAATTTGTATATTTGAAAATTACATCAAAAATTCTACAGAATAAGAGGTGATAAGAGCTATTTTATCAAAGAGGATCAAAAGTGAGTAAAGAACATGGCTAAAGTTCTACCATGTGAATAGTAAATATGTAATTTAAATTGAGACAGAGCGAGTACTCTATGTTTTGTATGAGCAACTCCAAAGGAATCAAAACAAGAGGTAAACTAGGAAAGTATTTTTCCGATTTACCTTATGAAATATATCTTTCTAAAAAAGTGAGTAGGTGGGGTAGGTCATCAAGCCTTTTTGGGCCGCATGCGACATTACCTCCATTACAGGTATGCTGAATACTGGGTAATGTGACTTGGTATCACCTGAGGACCCGACAGACTGGCCCATCGGCCCATCTGGGGAAACCTGATTTCTTCCCCTTGAATGGCTTCTTTCCATTCTTCTTTCCACCCCCTTCCTTCAGAGATTTCTCTTTCTTCTCTTTTTTGCGCTCCTCTAGGGTTACGTACCTCACAGCCCGGACCATAGCTTTTTCGAAGGTATCCGGGGGATGGGCGTGAGATCCGTGTGGAGGAGCCCCTCTTGTAGAGCTACGATAAACATTTCCAGTCTTGACTTCTCATTAGCGCCCTCTACTTCTCGGAACTCTTCCCCCCAACAAGTCAAGAAGTTCTTCAAGGACTCGCTGCTTTTTTGGCAGATGGAGGCCAGGTGCGTGAAGTGTTTCTTCGCCTGACAGTTCCTTGCAAAATGTTCCAAAAAAATAGGCATAGCTCGTCGCAATTCGGACAGACCCAACCGGGATATGATTTACCCAAGCCGCTACTTTGATGTCGATGTCTTAGAGGAAACAACGGCACATTAGGGCATCCGTGGCGACCATTGTCTGTACATAACTTTTGACATGCTCTTGGGGAACTGACTCCCCATCACATCACTTGATAAATGAAATATTAAACCCAACCAGGTAAGTTCTGCAAATGTCTCCAGAGCTAGGGTAGTGTTGGTGCGTGTCGTGAAGACGCGTCCATGGTTGACCTTGCGCTGCATCTCCTCGATCTGTCACCGGAGATCCTTAATTAGCTCTGTGCCTCATCTTTTAGTTGCCCAGGCACCCTCCTTGTACCACCCTGGCGCTGCTCCCAGTGAGATGATTTCCACCCGGCTGGGTTGCGATCGCTCCTAGCCTACAAGGGCTTTCCCTGGGTTTTTTTCTAACCGTTCGCACACTGGGACCCACTCCATATACATCCGCTCAAACACCGAGCCTCTATGATTCTTAGTCGCCTCATTGTGCAGTTGTTTGGTAGCTCGGAGTCCCACTGGTGCCCGGCCTGTCGCCCGGGGCTTACTGTGGTGTTTCCAGTTATTTCGGGTCATTTTTGCATCTAGGCATTTCCTGATGGCCTCTCTTTCCCTTTCAATCTCCTAGAGAATTAGGTTTTTTTTACACCTCTTGCCATTTGGGGAATCTGCCTCTGCTGCTCCACTGGGTTTCTAGGAACCCTCGAGGGCCCGGGAAGGGCCCGTTCCAGCCTGTCCATAACATTCACCATCATGCTGGTAGTGTTATTTAGGGTCGCTTCAATCCCAGTGGACTGAGCAGCGTTGTGTTGTTCGGGGACTCTCGTCGCAACAGAAGTGTAATACCCCGTATCAAGATGGGAATGGGGAGAGCTCAAAAAGGATTGATAGTACTACTCATACTAACAAGGTGCATCTTTTTTTTGAGAGCTCATCACCTAGAAACTCCAAAGTTAAGCGTGCTTGACCTGGAGAAATTTTAGGATGGGTGACCCCCGGGGAAATTCCTTGGGCGCGCACGAGTGAGGACAAAGTGCGCGGGAAAGACGTGTGTTGGTTTGTGGGGCCAGTCTACAATCCTATGAGCGAACACTTACGGCCAGGGTGGGGGCTGGGGTGTTACAAATGGTATCAGAGCAACCCTGCGACCGTGACGGGCCGAGCTTAGTTCGCCTAGCAGGGAAGATCTAAGGGTTTAAAAAAAGGATGCAACGAGGACGTTGCATTCCTAAGTGGGAGTGAATGTAATACCCCGTATCAAGATGGGAATGGGAAGAGCTCAAAAAGGATTGATAGTACTACTCATACTAACAAGGTGCATCTTCTTTTCGAGAGCTCATCACCTAGAAACTCCAAAGTTAAGCGCGCTTGACCTGGAGAAATTTTAGGATGGGTGATCCCCTGGGAAATTCCTTGGGCGCGCACGAGTGAGGACAAAGTGCGCGGGAAAGACGTGTGTTGGTTTGTGGGGCCAGTCTACAATCCTATGAGCGAACACTTACGGCTAGGGTGGGGGCCGGGGTGTTGCAAGAAGACTACTCAGAGTTTTCACCATTACACCTAGAGTTCCTCGTTCTTCGTCCAGCCACACTCTCACAATATCAATCTCACAGTAAACTCTCAATAAAAGCACCAATGGTGGGATTTAGCCAACTACTATGACATATGAAGAACAAATAAATAATAAGAATGGCTTCAGAACTCGTATCTCTTTGTATTAGCTTCTTTTAGCTTATCTTGCAATGGAGGGTTGACCTCCTATTTATAGTCAATTTCTACCATGTATAAGGTATGTCATGTTCGTGTGCTACATTATTGACCATTTGCCAATCGTGAGCAATCATGGCGGGGAATCAGTTATCAATTCCCCTGAATCACACGATTCGGGGAATCCCATTTAATTTAGGTATTAGATAAGATGTCATCCCGTCCCATTCTTGGGCCTCGCCTCCAAGTCTGCAATCGAACTCATATAGCTATTGGGTCAGTCCAACTTCAATTGAGATGTTCTTGTCGAATCACTATATCGAATATACATCAAATACCTTTTTATTAAGAGAAGAAATGGTAAATATGGCAATTTTTGGGAGCGTTTTAAGACATACCTTTTTATCAAACCATATTTACCAATTTTTGGGAGCAATTTTATGGTAAATATGGTAAATATGGCTTGATGACCTACCCCACCTATAAAATTTTATGGAATTTACTCTAGAAAATTTTATTGCACATGGGTCGCCTATTTTTCATGAGCTCAATTGATCATTTTTTAATGTTTAGGAATTAGGATATTGATGTAAGAACATTGAAATACTTGAAGTATCTAAAAGCATCTATATCAAACCTTAAAAATCAAAGTTTAAACGCAAAATTATCTGAAATAATCTCAACTTTACTTAGTCTTTCAAAAATAATTTTAATTTTCATTGTGCTAGATAATAATTCCAAATTTACTGAAATTTACTAGTTTTGTGTCACCGTTAAACTAACGGCTTCTTAATGAAAATGTTCTGTTTTGTGCAACAAAATGAAAGTTTAGATTAATTTTTATGAAACTTTATTTTTAGTTTTTTTTTTAAATTTTCCCTTAAACTTTTAAAATGACTTTCTACCTCTATCAATTTTTATAAACATTAGTCTTATGTTAGCAAAAAATAAAAAAAATAGATATAAAAATAACGAAAATGAAAAAAATAACTAAAACCATACAAAATTAATAAAATAAAAAGATAATTAATGAAAAATAAACTCAAACATGTAAGAAATAGAACTAAAAATATGGAGTGGTGGTTACTAATGTTTTTGGAGCTATACGGATGGATTATTAATGTATTACTTCCCCCGTTGGTAACAAATATAAATAAAAAACAATAAATAATATCTTATTAAAACCCTAAAAAATGGAAAGAAAAATAAAAAATAAAAAATATTTTCTTACTTCAACGTAATTTCATTTTAGTTATTTTTTAATAAGACATTTTTTTATTTATTTAGGGGGGGTTTCAATAAGAATTTTTTTTAAATTCCTTTTTTTATTTCCATCTTTTATGAGTGGGAGGTAGTAATACATTAATACTCTGTATAGTGCCTAAAACGTTAGAACCTATCACTTCATTTGCTTTTTGTTTTATCACCAATGTTCCCATGACATTGGGTTTCAATGTCATGGGATGACCCGGGGGTGCTCCGGTGCCCCGTTCGTAAAATTGACGGTTCCTACCCCCCTAACCCCCCCGGTAAACCCCCCACCTCGGCCCCGACCCGAACACGCCCCCCTACCCCTGTCAATTGCACGGTTCCCATGACATTGGGTTTCAATGTCAAAGTCAAAATCAACTTGTGGGGCGTGTTCGAGTCGGGGCCGGGGTGGGGGGTTTACCGGGGGGGTTAGGGGGGTAGGAACCGTCAATTTTACGAACGGGGCACCGGAGCACCCCCGGGTCATCCAATGACATTGGAACCCAATGTCATGGGAACCCCACCCTTGTTTTATTTCTAGTCAAATGAAGTTAATTTTTATTGATATTGTTTTATTTCATTAATTTTGTATATGGTTTTAGTTGTTTTACTCATTTTCATTGTTTTCTATATCTATTTTAAATTTTTTTCAAAGGTAAGACTAATTGTTAAAAAAGAAAAAAAATGAGGTAGAAAGTCATTTTAAAAATTTAAAAGGTTTTTTTGAAAAAATTAAAGACAAAAATTTATAAAAAATTATCTCAACTTTCATTTTATTGCGCAAAACAAATTCCATTAACCAACCATTAGCAATTTAATAGTGATCTAAAACTTGCAAATTTCAGCAAAATTAAAATTATTATACATCACAATGAAATATGATATTATTTAAGAAAGACCGAGTAAAATTGAAATTATTCTAAATATTTTTTCAAGTTTAAATTATCAAATGTCATCATGATGACTATCCAAATGAGAGATCAGAAATTCGAATCCTAAATGAAATTAGTAACTTTAAGTATTTTAATAAGTTAGAAACATATGAATAGATACTAAATTGTAATAGAATCATTAATGTGCAAAAACAAAGTTTAAATGGTTAACCTTATAACAAAATTCAGCCAAATTAAAATTAAAAAAATAATGATTATGTCATCATGGTGACTCTCCCAAATGAGAGGTTATTGGAGAGGCATGAGGAGTGGGGGCATGGGATGGACAAAGACATAGTGCCAGAACGAAAAATGAGTAAGATTTTTTTTCGAAAGCAAGTGAAAATAAATCTCCTTGTTGAGACTAATTTGTTTAAAGAAATATTTTTTACCAGTTATGTTACACATAGAAAATTAGAATTGAAATTTTCCCTGAATGATAAAAAATTACATGAACTAATGATGAGCTTAATCTGAAACAAAATTTGCTTGAACCCAATACAAAAAAGATAGTACATCATATTTTTATACAGAGTATAGGCTAAAATATCCAACTAGATAGTCTTCAGCTTGTGTATTTTGAACGTCAAAACCATCAAGTTCCACAACTGGTGATTGTCCAAAATTCATTCTCCTGAGTCCTGACACATGTTGGAGGTTAATTATATACTTGTACATGAATATGTCAAGATTTTTTTTGTCCACATTCTAATGAATCTCATTTTCAAAGGAAAGAAATTTATTAAAATTTCAAATTAATCCTTCAAATGAATTTGTCAATCATTCTTGTCAATAATGCTAACACCCCATCTCTAGGATATCTTTGACAATTAATCATAATTACATTATTGAATATGAAAAGCGGACAACTAATTCCGGACAAACGAAAGCAAGAACGTGGACAACTAATTTTGGATGGAAGGAGAATATCAGTTAGCCCAATGTAACTTACACAGTCACTTCCTCTGCATCTTGAATCTAGAAACTGGTTTTGAGGTGCGACCAACGATCTGCTCTCTTGGTTGCATATCAAAGTTAGGTGAATGTTCGACGATTGAGCCAGTAAATGCCTGTACATATTTACCCACATACTATGAATGAGAGGGGAGTAAGAACAATCAATTTTTCGAACGGAACATTGTAGGGACCCCGGGTCATTCCATGACATTGATTCCCAATGTCATGGGAACCAAGGGGATATTAATATCACCAAGTTCTAACGAGGAGTCAGTGACCATACCTTGCCACCATCAAACTGTTGTTGAGTTTTGTTTACAACTGCCTGCTGGAAATGATTTACTTAACCATCAATCAAACATGTATATACTCTTTTACTGCATTGTGTGTTTGAAATGTAAAGTTCAAAATGCCTCATCTATGAGTGCCTAACCCTTTCCCATTCCCATCACATCAATTCAAAACAAAAAATAGGAAAGAACTTGAGGGAAAGTGGAAGTCATAGGAAGGGACATATAGTTGCATGATACCTTGCTTTCCAACACAACTGTATTCTCCTTTGGTTTGACCTCAGTTGAATGTGGCTGACAAAATGTCAGGCATTCTCCATGTGAGCACTCATCTGAAGCACATTGCAAATGTTAATGGATAAGGTGGCTGACCGAATGACAGGCATTCTCCATGTAATCCATTTAAATCACTGACTTTGTTTTAAGGTCAGTTACATATGGAATTCAAGTTTTTTTCTTCTTATAATGGCTAACCTTTAGGTAGAACTTGTACATTTGAAGCTTCAGCCTGCAGTTCGGAATTCCCAAAAATTAATTAATTACTTAATTAATTAATTAACTAAATTACTAAAAGAAGTATACAAATTGGATACGAGTGGGTGTTCCTTACTTTCAACTGATCATGATTTCTTGAAGTTGTCATTCTAGCTTCATTTATTTCTGTTCCTGAAGATCTCACTGCTTTTGTCATGCTACTTAAGCCAAGCACCTAAAACAACAACAAAAACCAAGCGTTAATCCTGAATTAACCTAGGTCGGCCGCATGAACAAGTATAAAATCTTCCAAGCTTGACCCATTGAAATCCGTTGCTATAGTGTCCCTTAGTAGTGAAAACCTTAGTTATACCTCTATAGTCATTCAGTCAAAATAGCCTACTGTATAAATTACCTCTGAACTTCCAATTTGTTGATCCATGGTAGGGTGCACAATACTTCTATCTAAGACGCGTTCACGTTCATCTTCATTATTTTCGCTGGCTTTTTCAGCTTCTTCTTCTTCTTCTTTCTCAAGTTCAGCAATCCGGGCTAATATGCGAGCATATTCTTCGTCATCATTTTTTTGGGTATCATTTTCTGCCATGGAAGAACTACCAGATCCCCCTGAAAACATCAAAGGAAATTAAATATAAATCACAGCTAAAGCAAAATTTTCAATCTCAGAATTTGCAAATGCGCCCTTGTTTATTTGTAAAGATATGGATAAAAGCTACCCAATTAAACATACAACAATCAACTAGATGAAAGTAAAATCCTTAAGATTTTTAAATTTGACATGGAGAATTCTCGGTAGCATCTTGACCCTATGAGGTTGTTTGGTTGAAGGAAGAGGGATATTGGGAATGAAAGTCATTATTATATTTGGGAAGAATGGGAATGAAGGGACTAAATACATTTTTTCATCTATTTCTACTACCAATCAGGATCTTAGTTGCCATAACTCCTGTCTATCGTTGTCATTTGTCAGCCCTTCCAAAAAAGACCAGGAGAGCATCATACCACATCAAACTTGCAACATTCTTCCCGCCTTACATCAAACAAGCCTCAGCCACAATCTATCCATCTACTAATCATTAACCCATTATCAATGTAGAAGATCTCAGTCTATATCCACAGATTACTGGCCCCGACACACCTTCCCTACCCAAAAGGCCATATATGAATCTATGATCTATGCGCCTGCTTCAATTCCACATATCTAAAATTAAAACTCACCTATCAAAATATTACATTTTCCCGTACTGGCATGTACCGTTTTTACTTGAACTTTCAGTTTTGTGAAAAGTGGCACAAGTTGCTACAACAATATAATTTTACTTGAACTTTATGTTTTGAATAATTTTTATGAAAGTTTCTTGTTTATAGCTACATCACTTTAAGAGTTTGAAGTTTGTAACTGGGATCTTGCTTCTATCTTGAAGAATGGAACTAGCGTTGTTGAAATTATTATTCATAGCGAAATGAGCAGCTACATTCACACAAAGGCAAACTAGACTCAGACTCAAATTATAAAAGTTCAGGACAGCAATATAGACTATTCATATTTGAATATAGTTTCTAGAATAAGATGCTATACTTTTTAAAATATGAGCAAAAATAGTAAAAATTCCAAAATACAAGCAAAAATTATTACTATACTAGCAATCCTACACTCATCTTTCTGATTAGTTAAGGATGCAATTAGTTGTTAACAGATAACACAAATAACTGAAATAAGATCTAGTGAAGCTCTACTAAATCATTTGAAAAATAATAAGAATTTCTTTATAGCATTTCAAATCAAGAGGATACTTGCCTGATGCAGACTTTTCATAAGAAGTTTCCTCAACAATCTCTTCTCTGATCTCCACAAGACCCTCCTGTTGAATAATTCTAGAATTTCTTAGAGGGAAATCTATATACAGTGTTCACTAGCAAGTTGAAAGAGCAAATATAACATATTAGCAGCAAGACAAAAAGTGCTATCAAGCATATGCAAAATGTTGACAACGATGAGGATCAAGATTGCTTGTAGGACTTAGGCCATGTTCTCTTCAACTTACTCTTATTACTTATTACTTTTTCTTATTGGAATCAGAGATTAGATCAGAAACAAAACAACTTAAAATATAACTATACTCAGATAAGATAACACCAGATCTTATTCCAATCAGATTCATATCAGGTGAAGAGAACATGACATTAGAATCTACTCTTTATTTCTTCAAATCTACAATAGTTTTTGAAAATGATGCATTACGAAATAAAAAAGACAATAAATGTCTCATAAAATGGTGCATGCATAGCCATTCCACTAAAGAGAATCCCCCCCCCTCCCCCCTACAGTCTATTAGCTCTTTATTTGCAGAATATGTAATCAAAAGCATATCATGATACATAACCCGTATGTTTCTTAATAAACTTCCCGGTGAAAAATATACTAGCCTCCCACCATCAGTCTATTGGCTCTTATTTGCAAAATATGAAACCACAAGCATATCATGATACCATAAGCCGTATATTTCTTAATCTACTTCCCCACAAAAAATAGTGAAATGCTCAAATACTGTTTATATGAAACTTGGGAGTGATTATTCCCTCATATCATTGCAAGAGAACAATTGTTGTTAAATCCAATCATTCAACCACAACAGCATTAAATCAATGTGTTTGCGCACCATAGATGAGCAACAGGCTTACCACTGACTCAGAAGCGGTAGCATCAAAAAAAGCAACTTCAGCCTCAAGGTCCTGCAGTTCAGCCTTTAGACTTTGAACTTGGGACTCCAAAGCCTTACCCCTCCTGGTCAAAACCTCAGTAGTTTGTTTGGATGATCTGTCTGCATAATAACTCTCTCCTAGGAGAACCTACAGTGATTGGAACTTGAAAGAATCCATATAATCTTGATCTACGTGTGCTCACCATAAAAATTCGAAAACTATAACATGATTACCATAAACTCATTGGTATGAATCAATCTACCAGGAAAAAATGCAGCCTTCCCAAATGGAACCTAAAATACCAAAAACAAACAAATAAAACTTGTTTCACACATTCATAGTATATTCGAAGTTTATAGGAAAAATAGATAGAATAAATCAACTTTCCATGACATCATGATGGAGTTTGTCAGGAAGGCGCTGAACAAGATCGATTAGGCTTTTGTTGTCAGCAACAAAGTCGTTTAGTTGGTCCATCATTTTCTGCCGCTCCGTGATGGTGTCTTGCACACGCTGCACCGCTTTGCGAGCTTCATCTGCCGGAAAAAGTGAGGAAAGTGGCGTCACCGTCCCTTTCACCAGTTCTCCCATGACCTCAAATACACTTAGCAAAGTAGTCCAAAGTATGTTAGCTTATTCCGGTACGAATAGAATAATATGGATAACATTTTAAAAATACGGCTAATAATGAATTTCATACATTTGAAATATGTATAGAGATACATTCATGTTTTATAGGTTTACTTTTTCAAAAATACAGCTTATAATGTGCGCATATACTTTAGACACGAATGACATATTAAAGTCCAAATTTTAAACTTACAAATGGCATGCATCTAATCAGTGGCGGATCTAGGATTTTTTCACTGGGGGCACATTTAGTCCGCACAAAAATAATAAGCATAAACTCAAATTAAGTAAAAAGAAAACATGCAATTAAAGTGAAACAAACATACAATTTATAATTGTTCTCTTGCCAGGGGTCAATTTTCTAATCTTAACCTTATTGCTGATTTCTAATATCCAATTCAGCTAAAATCCGCCTAGATATACCAGGTGACCTATTCAAAATTTCGCATCATTGTATAATTAGCACCAATTCTTCAATTTAGTAGATTTAGATGGATTACGATCAAGTATAAAAAAACCCAAGAGGCCAAATTAGAAACAATGCAGTCAGTTCCTTAAAACAAAGTTTGTTCAAGTTGGAGAACTCCTGACCATATTCTCAATTTAAAACGAAGCCTAAGTTTTGTTGGAGACACTGTTCCCTATCTTCATTCACACCTGCTGTGACACCCAAAGCGTCTGCGGTGGCGTCAATTCTTTCCGGAAATGGCAAGCGGTGGCAGCGGACCAAGTACAGTAGCTCCACAACGTTAAGAGTAGTTCAGGCCAGAGAAGAACGAGAGAGGAGGTAGAGAAGAACAGAACAGGGAAGGAACAGAGTGCAGTACAGAACAAATCCCAATTCCCAACTTTAATTCGATTCAACATATTATACTAATTCAATTCGACACATTCAATATTCGAAATTGCAAATCCAACGTCAATTGAAAACATATTAACAAATCCTAATCTATGAATCAATCTTAAACCAGAGATAAATCACTCACCTTAACTGATTGGCGAAGGAAATTGGTTTAGAACTCCGGCGAATACTCCGGCGAAGTCGTTTGCGGGCTTGGGCTTCCTTCTCCGGTAGGTTTGTCGCGCAGTGGAGCGACCAAGAAGATGGTGCGGCTAGTATATACGGAGTAAATTATATAGGGAAGTTCTGAACCATTCAAAGTCTGATACCAGTAAGAAGTCTGAACCATTAATAGTTAGTATATTGCTTAACTATTCAGAGGTAAGTAAGAAGTCTGAACCATTAATAGTTAGTATATTGCTTAACTATTCAGAGGTAAATGTCTGATCAATTCAGATAAGAGGTCTTAACCATTCAGACTCTATATAATACTTAACCATTCAGAGGCAAATGTTTGAACCATTTAGACATCTGAACCATTAAGAGGCTGAAACAAACAGTCTGTACCATTAAGTGATGAACCATTAAGACATCTGAACCATTAAGAGGCTGAAACAAACAGCCCCTAAATCCTTTTAATAATAAAGAGTTTCCGTATTTAGTCCTCTATTATCAAATATTACATCAGTGGTTCTTCTTTTATGTCTATTTTTCCACAAATAGTCCTTTTTTGATCTTCTATCATGTTGGTGTTAATTTGAGGGCTAAAAATGTAATTCACAATGATAATATATCGTTTTTGTCATACACAATTCAAAAGACTATTCCGTTTCCATCGTTTGTGAATCATAGTCGCTTTCTACTACAACCATATCTACAAATGTGGTCTTTCGTCGGAATCCTAGCCCACAATTATAGTCATTATTTTTGTGTTATCTACTTAACCAATATCAGAACATGTCACTAAACATAATGTTGATGTCAAATTATACTTTTAGTCTTTCAATTAATACCAACATGCCAGAAGATCAGAAAAGGATCATTTATGGAAAGACACCCTTAAAAAAAGGACTACGTGGGTAATATATGATAATAGAGGACTAAATATGGAAACCGCCCTGTTATAAAGGACGAATTATGGAATTTACTCTTAATTTTAATTGGGTGAGGGAGTTTGGGCTTTTCTCCGTTTTGGAGTAGGAATAGGCGTAGGAATTAGCTTTAGTTATAATGTTATTATTATTTAATATTATAAAATATTTATATTTATTTATTAAACTGTAATGTCTATTTTACTCATCACGCTTTATACGTATATCTAAATTTAACAACTCCTTGGTTCCCATGACATTGGGAACCAATGTCATGGGATGACCCGAGGATACTCCGGTGTCCCGTTCGTAAAATTGACTCCAAAGTCAAAATCGACTTATGGGGTGCAATTGAAGGGGGTGGGGGGTGTGTTCGGGTCGGAGCGAAGTGGGGGGTTTACCGGGGGTAGGGGGAGTAGGAATCGTCAATTTTACGAACGGGGCACCGGAGCGCCTCCGGGTCATCCGATGACATTGGTTTCCAATGTCATGGGAACCTTCCCCATTTAACAAACTATATGTCGTTGGTCACCATTTTACGAGACCTATACAAAAACCCAAATTTCATTAGAAATTATTAAATTTACGTCATCTTTGATTTTATTCGTTTTCTTTATAATCCTCTCAATCTCGGACGGTCAAACCTCTAACCTTCGTAACTTGGATTTGTACGTGGGACATGTCGTTGAACTCATGCCATCGAGGCCTTCAATTCGAGTGTAATCTTGACCATAAAAGGATTCCTTTAAAATATCTTATTTTAACATTTTCATTTTGATTTTTATTTTATTTAAACAGAAATTAGAATTAAGATTTACTAAAAATTCGTTATGAAATTCTAGGGTACATTTCGGGGCGTTACAATGCTGCAGAAAGTCGACCTCCGGGCTATGATCGCCAGCATGAATCAGTATATGATCGCATTCATTTTGATCTGCGTCTTGGTCAAGTCCTCTAAAGATGGCCTAAACCCCATCATATCTGGACACAATTGGGCCCAATACTCTTTCGTGTTACCATGCGAACCAACAATCCGGGTGCCATCTACGGGGAGACAAGGTGGGACGCTCTACACCACACCTCGTGGATAACGCTCCACATCAAACCCTTCCCTCAAGCTACCAAAATATTTAACACATTTCACCGGTACATCTTAAAGCCTACGGTCTTGCCACACCCTATCACAACGATGTTCTCCGGGTGACAAAACTAGTACATCGGGGACAATTGGTCCTGGATGGGCCTCCGTTCTTTGAAACTCCTTATTCTATGAAACTAAAACTTGTAGTCTCTGAATACGACAAACCAAAAGTATGTAATGCACTAAAAAAATCCACAAATATATCATTAAAAAATTTTTGGATATCTCGTAAACATTTCAATTTTCAAAATTCTCAACATAAATCTAATCTAAATTTTCAATTTTCTAAATTATCAACATTTCGATTTTCTATATTCTCATCATAGATCTAATCACAAACATATCTCGTAAACATATCTCAAACATATCTCATACCAAATATAAGTTAAATTAGAAATTTTAGGAATAAAATTAAGTAAAACAGTACATATGGTCCCGTTATCCTGAGAGACGGCAAGGGACGGTGGGGACGGCATTGTAGCACCGTAGGGGTAGACACGGTACGGTTCCGGGACGGTTCTGGTTCCGAAATCGCCAGTTCTGGTACTGCCACCCCTAAGGACCGTTACCGTCATCGGACCGAACGATACCTGTTCTGGTACCAGTACCGGCGGTTCTAGTACCGTACCAGCCAGTTTCAGCCACCCATTTTATTTACTTATTTTTTTTAAATTTTTAGAAGTGGAAGTGTTAAAGGAAATAATGAAATAAAATATCTAAAAATGTAGTTGTTATTTAAAAATTAAAAAAATGAGTAATACACGAACAACTACATTTAATATCCCGACGGTTGAAAGAAAGCGACGAGATAAAGAACCATAAAGAAACCCTCGAAGGAGCTTATATATCGCTACCTACAAAAACTACTTACATAATTACATTAACATAAAAAAGTTTATAACTTATTCCTCGGAACTAGGGCTTCCATCTGTGGTTGCATTCATGTAATGTTCAGAATTAATGTCGTACCCTAACTCTTGAGCTCGACGTCTTGCCAAGAGCCATTCTCAATTGCAAACAAGTGTCTCAAGCGATTCAGTGCTAAGACAACTTCGATAGTTAGTTAGAATGTTGCCGTTAGAACTGAATTCTTGTTCCACAGCTACGGTTGATACCGTGATGGGAAAACAATGTCTAGCTAGCATTCCGAGACATGGGAACATGGGTTCGTTCCGCTTCCACCATGTGAGGACGTCAAAGTCTACGTCCTCGTCCTCGTCGTAATCACATGGCACCCCTTGGTACATAGCAAGTTTGTTGTGTGACCTTAAAATTGGATTAGCAGGGCGTGAATTCATTCGTCACTTTGGTACTATCGCAGCCACCCTTAATCAATTGCTAAGCAAGGGTGGATTTTATTGAGATGCTAAGGCAGAACAGGCCTTCACCAGGCTCAAAACAGCCATGACTTCACCGCCAGTTCTCAAGTTACCCGATTGGCACAAGCCTTTCGTTGTTGAATGTGATGCTTGTGGTGTGGGCCTCAGGGATATTCTAATGCAAGATGGCATCCAGTCGCTTTCTTTAGCGAAGCTTTGGGTAAACTGTTCATCGTCCGTACGGATCATAAGGCACTAAAACATCTTCTGGAGCAGCGCATCATAACCCCGGCCCAAACCCGCTGGTAACCTAAATTGCTTGGCTATGACTACAAGATTGACTACAAAAGTGGGAGTTCAAATAAGGAGGCAGATGCTCTGTCAAGGGTGCCGGAAATTCAATGCATGGCGATCTAGTACTTGCAATCTGATTGGTGGTAAAGAGTTCAAGACATCCTCCACAGGGGACTCAACATTCCAAATCAGAGAGGCATTTTATTTCTATAAGGGAAGGGTCTATTTGAGCCCAACATTCAGATTGATCAAAGATATTCTTCATGATCGTAATGCTTCATCTGTCGGCGGCCATTTTGGCTTCCATAAGACACTTGCCCGGATTCGTCAAACTTTCTTTTGGCCTGGAATGCGTGAATTAGTTCACTCTCACATCTGGGAGTGTGTGGTTTGTCAGTGTTACAAATCAGACACCATGCAACCTGCAGGTCTCCTTCAGCCCTTGCCCATTCCCGAACGCATTTGGACTGATATCTCAATGGATTTCGTCAAAGGGTTGCTGATCTCGCACGGGTATTCAGTCATTTTGGTCGTGGTTGATCGCCTCTCAAAATATGGCCATTTTACTGCCTTACGACATCCATACACTGCCGCGTTCGTAGCCAAGGTTTTTGTGCAGCAGGTTGTGCGACTACATGGGATTCCACAGTCCATTGTGAGTGATCGCGACCGGATCTTTCTCAGCACCTTTTGGCAAACACTCTTTAAACTACAAGGCACTTCTCTCAACCTCATTTCTAGTTATCATCTTGAGACAGATGGCCAAACCAAGGTTGTCAACAGGACATTGGAGCTGTATCTTCGGTGCTTTGCGGGAGACCAACAAAAGGCATGGGTTGATTGGTTACCTTGGGCCAAATACAGCTACAACACATTTACTCATTCGGCTACAAAGATTTCTCCTTTTGAGGCTGTCTACGGGAACCCACCATCACGCCTCTTTCCGTATGAATCAGGCACGACCAATGTTGAGGCTTTTGACCGGTACCTCAAAGATCGTTCAGTCATCCTGCATGAATTGAAGATTCATTTAATGGAAGCTCAAAAATCGATGAAATTGCGAGCTAATAAACATCGCCGGGATGTTTCATTTTCAGTGGGCGATTACGTCTACCTAAAGCTCCAGCCGCACTGACAAATCACTGTAGCTCGCCAAAACTCTCAAAAGCTTGCCCCCCGTTTCTTTGGGCCATACAAAGTCCTCCGTCGTATTGGGTCTGTGGCATACAAACTTCAGTTACCAGAGGGGTCTAGAGTTCATAATGTGTTCCATGTAAGTAAGCTCAAGCTCCACACAGGAACAATTCCATCATCAACTGCAACCCCACCAACTATTTCCGACTATGTGTCGTCGACCCCTCAACCGGAGCTTATACTTGACCGTCGTGTCATACAAAAAGGCAAGTACCGTCCACGGAATGAAATATTGGTTCAATGGAAGGGCGGAACCCGCGACGATGCCACTTGGGAAAATGAGTGGCGTTTTCAATGAACATATCCTGACTTCTCACCTTGTTGGCAAGGTGCCTTAAGGGAGGAGGAATGATATGTGCTCTCCAACACAAAAGTACTTGGATGCACGAAGAGAGGAGGTGTGGCCTAATGTGTCATCTATTTTCTTTGCATTAGTTTCCATGCTTATTTTTTATTATTTGAGTCCGCACATTTAGTTAAGTGGGCAAGTTGTTCCTTAAAATATTGCATAAGAATAGGTCAAGTAGTGGATCTATGGATTAGTGGGTGGTTACTCTCATGTAGCTATTTATTCCTGCATTGTTACTTTTAGAGTAATAAGATATATCAGACAATTATCCCAACTCTTCTTCTCGTTTCTTTCCTTCTGTCCTCTGTAATAGGATTTGAAACTATCATGGCGCTAATCGGAGAAGAAAGAACGGCGATGGGGTCTGCGGTTAGTGGTCTTGCATCGGGAAAGAAGAAGAGGGCTGGGCTTTGGGAAATAACGCGTGAGTTTTTTTTATACATCTAGGGTTTTGTGCTCCGAGTAAAAACACACTTTTCGGGCCAACTTGCTCCGAATTGAGATCTATTCGTGTCGTTGGATTTGATTCGTCGATCCCTACCCAACGATATAACTTTTATATTCATTTGACAAACATTTATACGTTTCACTAGGTCCGTCTTAATTCTTTTGATAAATTAGTACCGAACAGTCCTTAAATTTAAATCTTTACCAATATAATCAGATTAGTTTCGTTATATTGAGACGATTAGAATCTGTAAAGTATCTTTTAATTCTTTATAAGAATAAATTATCATAAATAAATAATTCTTATTTATTTAATTAGCGAATAACTTCTAGAGCGGTTTTCAGGGCGTTACAGTAGGTACCGCCCGACCAAATTTTGGCTAAGTTCCCAAGTATTCAAACGGTACCCCATACCGCTACATTAAGCATCTACCGACCGTTAGAACCATAGCTCAGCCCAAAATGAACTATGGCAGTACCCCCCACCGTAAACTTTGTTAGGTACCGACGGTTAGAACCATAGCTCAGCCCAAAATGAACTGTGGCGGTACCCCCTACCGTCTTAACGGTACCCAGGTACCGCTTGAGTCTTAGGAAATTCAAATTTGAACTTCCGAACGGGACTTGTCACGAGACCCTATACCATCAGTAACGGTACCCCCTACCATGACGGTACCTGACTACCGTTACAGGTTCCGGATCCGTTGGGTTACTGTTCCTGATTGATTTAATTAATACCAATCAACCTAATTTGTCTCCCAACAGCTCCTTGAAAGTTCAAACACATTTTAAACTTCCTAAACACTATAAATACCCCTCCTAAGCGTCTCGTAAAAAAAACAACACCCCTTAACATACATTACGTTACATAAGCTCATTCTTGATCATTTGTGTGTTCTAAGCTTTAAAGTTCCTGCTTTTTTATTCTTTTGAATTTAAAGCTTTGATTTCTACATTCTTTAAACACACACACACACCAAGGGCTTTTGTGTTTCATCTTCTAATCTTGCTTATAGGCAATTGTTGTTGTTTTTATATTTTGTTCTTCTCCTACCCAATCATATTATATATTACTTTGGTAGAGAAGCAACAAACTCTTTTCATTACTTTGTAAAAGGTGTGGATATCCTTTAAATCTTCATTGTAAGGTTAAAGATAGTCTTTAAATCTTCGGTTGTAAACGATTTACATAGCCGGTATAAAATCTCATTTGCTTATGATGATGATGACGATGATGATGATGATGACGACGACGAAGTCGACGATGACGATGACAATGACGATGAGGATGATGATGATGATGAGGATGATGATGATAATAAAATTAACAATAATTCATAATAATAATAATAGTTCGTGATTAGATCTGATCTGATTGGATCTTAATTGATTTGATTAGATCTGATCTAATGAGATCTGATCTGGTCTGATTTTAATAAGAAAAAGAATAAAGAAGAAAAAATAAGGTGAACGAAACAGGGCATAAGTCTAATTCAAATGCAAATTTCTTAGCAGACTTGCATTCTCCTCAATTTTTAAATAGCATATGAGCATCGGGTGTGCCAAATCATGAATTGAAGTTAAAGGTAAGAACACTCATCATGTTGTTGAGGAATATTGACCAATCATCAAGTTTGTGCAATGGAACAAGGTTGATAGCTACCTGATTTGGACAATCATCTTATTTAAGTGACGGTGCTAACAGAGAAAATATTGGTCAGAAAGTTATTATCCCATGCTTGTTACTTCCACCGTTAGATACGAGAATTTCTTTTAAGTTTGAAAAGAAAAAACTCACAATTATGATTTCATATGCAATGACAATTAACAAAAGTCAAGTTCAATCTTTGTCGCATGTTGGGGTTTTACACAAGAAGTCGTTATTCAGCCATGGACATCTTTATGTGGCAATTTCAAAGGGTTAAAGATTTTGATTTGTAATAAAGACTTTGCATCATCAAACCAAACTACAAATGTAGTTTATAAAAAAGTTTTCCAAAACTTATAAAACTTCGTATCCACATTCAATATTAATGTATATTTTCCCTTAAGATTTTATTATATTATCTTATGTTTATGTATTTTTATCATTTTCCTTCATCAAAACTTTCCGTGATTATTTAGCATATGATTTGCCCGTGCAAGGCATGAATACAAGTCTAGTTTATATAAATGAGGTTTGGATTGAAATTATGATCCAAAGCATTAACTGTAGCTACCATAATTAGATCAAGTCAGAAAACCCCTTCGCACTGCAATTCGTAAGGCGGCGAATTTGATCTTCTAATGTAAAAAGTGTAGACTGATAAAAAGATATCTCCACAAAGCTTGGCAAACAAGCTTTTTCGTTCTCCAACTCTTAGAGGACCAAAACGCTATCCCAATGGGTGTTCACCAAGCATTTATAAATTGTTTGACCCAATATTTATCTCAAAAAAAAAAAAAAAACTCTGGGTCGGATCTGATAAACATTGGGTTGCACCCAAACCACGAATGAATTACCCTTAGAGAAAACATCACTCATTTTGTTGAAAAATGTTACTCTGACCTTACTGATGAATCTCTCCAATGGCCTTTGTTTGCCCCGGAGCCTCCCTCAACATTTGAGGACAATTCTCACCTTATCACATTTGCCAAAAGTTATTATTTTCCAGCAATAGACGGAGTTTCATCATTCATATATGCAAGAAATGATGAGTAAAAGCATATTTCTTCAACCAAACTGTCAATTGCAAGAATGTAAATTACATCTGTTAAGGGATGTCACAAAATTTTATTTAAAAAGAAAAAAGAAATTTGTTTTGTACCCCTAATATTCACTATACTTCTCAATGGAATCAAACCTCGTGGAGGTGAAACGGCCAAAAATGGCAATTGCAAGACGGATGCTCAAAGCTACTTCTTATCCAAACTATCGGTTTTTTTGGACGCTAAACCAGTGCATGCAATGCAAGCTGTTGGAGGGGGCACATCATCCGAAACAGTTATTCGAAACGTTTGCTGCTTCTCTTCCTTTCCAGGGACATGGACGAGAGCTTCCATAATGAGGATTTCCCAATTACGAGGCCAGAAAAATGAAATCCATGTATCATCTATGCCACATAAAAACAAAAAAAATGGCATACATTAATCTAACATCCTAAAACATTCTCAAATTAGATACCAATTAAATATCAAATGAACGAGCATCTCAACAGGAATCATAGTTAGGAAGGTACAGTTTTGTTGAAGATGGGAAAAAAATTAATACAACATTGGATAGTGTGTTGTGGGTGACACGACAAGTGGGAGACATTGAGAGTACCCCGTGAGATAAAAGTTCCTGGAAAAGTATGAGGTACATCCAGGACATCATTTCTAGGAGTTGGGTACTAAATCGCTATAGAAAATTTGCAGAGTAAAACATGGGATCTCAGTTTCCAATTAGGACTGCAAAGACAGTAATATTGTTACTTACGTGTGCCTCTTTCAAGACATTTGAAATAGAAATATATCCAAATACATTTGTAATTCAAGTATTACAACCTCCTAGGACATAAATTTGATAATTCAAAGACTAAGTTCCTCTAGATGTCTTAAGCAATTGGGAGCATGGTCTTCTGTATTACACATCAAATACAAGGAATGGCATGACCATAAATACTGTTGCACATGAGCTACAACTGGAAATTTAAGCTTCATCTTGCTGTTCTCCCGGTGAATCGACAAGAGCCAACAAAAAAAGGGAGGACTTGACGGAGTACCAAGGGTGGTGTTTCTAGAAGTGGAGGATTACATGTGGAAGTTGCTCTATTTTAGAATTTTCCATACTAAGTAGTGTTCACATCGTTGTATGGGTGGCTGGTTTCCTAAGTGTTTATGGCTAAACCATTACAATTGAATAGTCAGATAAACTTCAGAATGAACTATAAACTTAAAGGAAAACATCATGTAGTATGCAGAGCATTATATATATATGTCATCTCAATAGTGCTTGAATGAAGGTTTAACATAACATATGGAGGCATGAAAATGCTTTAGAAAGAAAGAAATGAAAAAATTATAATAATAACATCAATCACCTCCATTACAAACCGCCTTTAACTGAATGATCCCAGACCCTTGTGGACCCGAAACGGGAAATGAGCAGGATACAGAATGCCTTAGGTGAGACACTCCCAAAGATGCATTATACCATGGTCCTCTGACAATGGGAACTCCAATAGACTCTATTATGGCCTTGTTCTTACTAGCTTTCTCTAAGGCCTTGCTGAAAGAAAAAAAGTATGCAATAAAGAATGAAGTAAGGTAGTATTTGGGAACTAGAAGTTCATTTCAATTCTTGTATTTCAATTCCAAAACCTGAATTCTTGAATTTCAAATTACAAGGGGAGAGATATGGATTTACAATTGAGCTTTCTAATGAGTTAGAAGAATTTATCTCAAATCCAAATCCAAATAATTTAAGATTTCCCAAACAGAGTATTTGAGACACATCCAAATTGTAGTTGCAAGCATGCCATAAAAGAAACGGGACACACTTGAAGGATTCTGGTTTAGATATGGCAGAGCTTGGGGCATTCAAGATCATTAATCTTATCTGTCTTATGTTCTTCAGGACTAACAACAGGCATGTTGGTAAGTAACTGTAGTGTGAAGACCATATTTTTTTTATCCCAAAACACCATAAAAGGAAAAATCTAAGCAAGAACCGCTTTAAAAGGAAGAATCTAATAATACTACCTGCTACAACTGTGATAAATTGAAAGATCCTGAAGTGCACTAAGAGCAACACCTCCTGTCACACAAATCAATGTCCCCGATACCACCCTTCGCCCCCATATTTTGGCCTTACTTTCCTCTATCTTGCTCTTTGTCGAACTAAAAATTGAAATTTGAAAACAGTCGATAAAGTTGAAAAACCCAGCACCAGAACTACCGAACGAATAAATCGAAAATCAAAATAATGATAAATTTCTTACGGCATGCGCTTCAGGAATGAGAAAAACCTTCTTCCTGACATTGCTATTGATTCTTTTCGCTGTAGATATTTTGCGTCATGAAACCCTAAATCCCCAATTGAGATGAATTAGGAGTGTCCGAAAACATAGAAAAAATATGAAGCTTCATTTTTATTTCTTGCATTGTGGTGGTATGGAGGTAATGTGACACTGTAGAAATTAGTATACTTTTTTCTAATGTACATGACCATATTTGGTAATATAAATGCATTTTAACTCTTATTCCGAGAATAAAAACATGTAAGTCCTATTTTGATTTTTTTTTTTAATTTTTACTCCTATTTTAGTTTTTTCCTCTATTTCTTTAACATTTTTGGGTAAATTATCTCAATCTCATCTTTTTGCGTTCTTCAAAAAACAATTTCACTTTTCATCGTCACGAAAAATAATCCCACATTTTGTCATGTGTGCAAGTTTTGGGTCTTCATTAGGATGTTAACGATTACATAACAAAATTTTTAGAAAATGCTTGTTTTTTTGCAAATAAATGAAAGGTGGAATTATTTTAGGTAAAATCTTCTTTTTTTGTTTTTCTAATTTCTAACTTTAAAATTTAAATGTATTTTTTAAAAATATTTTTATAAATAATACTACCTCAGTCCCATTTTAAATTGCCTGTTTGCTTTTTTTTTCGTCTTAAAATAAGTTGCATGTTAGTTATTTTCATTGACTTTTAAGAATAAAATACCTAAACTACCTCTAAAATAAGTCACTCTTCTCCTACTTATCTTCTCATTCATAGTCATCCCTTCTAAAAAGTACTAATAATTTCAAAAAATCAACTGTATTTTTTCTATTCCTTAAATATGCTCAAAAGTCAAAACAGGCGATTTAAAACGGGACGGAGGGAGTACCAAATTTGAGTGCTTTTCTTATTAAAACTAATTATTTGTTCAGGAATCGATAATCTAGTAATAATTGTTCTTTCCAAAATAATATTTCAAAAATTGTGAAATTGAACAATAAATTATTCTATACAATGAAACTAATTTATTTACTTCAGAACTCACTGCATTTTTACGTAAGTTGTAATTATTTTATTGAGTGACACTTCGAATTGTTTTTTGATACTATACTATAACTATTTTAAAAAATGCACTATAAAACTACATTTTTTGTTGTATTCTAATTTTTTTCATTAACAACACTCCAAAATGTTTATCGATAATCGTTTATTACCCGTATTATTTTTTCTAAAATGGCGCTACAAAGCATGTGATTTTTTTATAATTCAGTATAAATTTTTTCCCCAAAATAACAATTCAAAAATTGTGAAAATAGTACAATATTTTTTTCTCCAAAACGAAACTAATTATTTTAAGGAAAAATTACCCAAAATAATCCCAACTTTACCCTGTCTTTCAAAAATAATCTCACCTTTCACTGTAATGCATAATAATCCAAACTTTATTGATGAAAATGGAAATGCCCGTTTTAGGCAACAAAATGAAAGTTGGGATTATTTTTGATGAATTTTTGTTTTTTAATTTTTTTGAAATTTTTATTTAAATTTTTTGAATTACTTTCAACCTCCATTTCTTTTTCTTTTTTAAAGATTATTCTTACCTTAGAAAAAAAATAGATATAAAAAATAATGAAAATGAGAAAAATAACTAAAACCATACAAAATTAATCAAATAAATAATGTAATCAATAAGAAGTGATATGTTAATACTTTGTATAATGCGTAAAATATTAAAACCCACCCGTATACTTTTATTTTACTTTTACCAATTTCAAGTTAGTTTCCATTGATTACCTTATTTATTTTATTATTTTTGTATCATTTTAGTTACATTTGTTATTTTTTCATTAAAGTAATTTAAAAAGTTTAAATGAAAAATTTAAAAAAAATAAAAAAAAAATGAAAATTCATCAAAAATAATCCCAACTTTCATTTTGTTGCCTAAAATAGGCATTTCCGTTAACCCTCCGTTAGAAATTTAACGGCGACCCAAAACTGGCAAATTTCAGTAAAGTTGGGATTATTACGCATCACAGTGAAAGGTGGGATTATTTTTGAAAGACCGGCTAAAGTTGGGATTATTTTGGGTAATTTTTCCCTATTTTAATAACTCCATATAACTTTTTGTATTGAAATTTCTTTTTCGAGCAATACTCTACACTATTTTTTAATAATCCAATATCGTATTTCCTCCAAAACAGAACACAAAATTTGTAAATCGTTATATGATGGATACCCTGGAATGGGGGTATCCGGGCCAACAGGAATAGCGGCCCAATCTAATTAAGATTAGGCCAACTCATCGGGGCGGATCTAGGTTGAAGTCTCAAGGGGGCTGCCACATCAAGATCTACCCGTGCTCGCCCTCGAGCCACGGTCGGCCTGCCCACTGTCGGGAGTCTCGAGCATATGTACTCGGCCTCGGAGTAGGATGCCACTGAACCGACACCACAAGTATATGAGCCGCCTGACTAATCAAATCAGGGGGCCCCCGATTGGACCCTGCCACGCCACTGCAAGAATGGTTGCAGCCACCCTACTTGTAACCTATCTTGTATAGCCACCCTAGGAGTAATGATGTGGTTGGCGCCGCCGGTTAAACGGCCGGATCTTAGTGGGCCCGATCCGTTGGACTCTGGACCAACGGTCGGGAACCCCATTACCCCATTTGTAACTTGTATATAAGCCCCTTTTGAATAAGGGAAAAGGACACGTTTTGATATGCACTAATACTCACAATCTTACTTGATTCCTAACTTGAGCATTCTTGACTTAGTTCAATACTCTTTCGCCTAGTCTCCTAGGCCCCTGGGTTCCATAACCCAACATTATATTTTAAAAAAAATCGTTATTAACATAAATTTAGAATTTAAAATTAAAAAAATTAAAAAGTAAATTTGGCTAAAATTATCTCACATTTTATTTATTTGTGAAAAAATATGCATCTTTCAAAAATTCCACTAAATGACTGTTAGCTTCTTAACGACGACCCATAAGTCACACACATGTGAAAAGATGGATTATTTCCGGTGACAGTAAAAAGTTGGATTATTTAAGAAAATTTTAACATTCTTTTTTTGAAAGGTGAGATTATTTTGGTGATAGTGAAAAATTGTGAAAATGTGATAGTGTAAATATAGCCGGGTGGGTCGACCGGATTTGACCTGGACACTCGACCCGTAATATAAAACACACCACAAGAACACAAAGTATGACCTAGACCGGGTAAATCTCATCAGTCCGAATTATATTTCTTACTCTGTCTCAAGAGTGTACTATTTTTAGTGAGAGAAAGAATGGATCCCCTCCTCTATCCAATATCATCATATTTATAGAGGAGGATTTGTGACCTTCCCCTGTTCATCCATGGACAAAATAGGAAGCTCGTGGGAAGGTTACTGTAGATAATGGAGGCACTGTACAATCATGGACTTGTTACTAATACAACCAAAGAGCACTGTTCAATCAAAGACTAAAATGGATATTCTCAATCCAATCAACCCTGCAAAATGACAAACATCCCTTTCACTGTGTGCCTCGTGATGGATGAGCGGCGGGGTGTCCCCTCGACCTCTGACGTGGTTCACCATGCCTAAGAGACTGGACCAATGTTAGCCAAGTAAAATGATATGACCGGTCACCTTCTCTCAAAGGTTACCCGGTCATTTCTTGCGCTCAACCCGTCTTTTTGGTCTTCCGGAATATCCTTCGTAGCATAAGGTGATATTTTGGCTATCGCCCAAAATGTGACCGGTCACTTTTTTAGTGAAAGTGACCGGTCAACTTTTGACCCGTCCCAATCGAAGAGTTAACCCCATTTGGTGATTGATAAAAGTGACTGGTCATACTTTGATCTGTCCCTTTCGGTTGTCCGGGTCGGGTATAGGGACCCATCAGGATTATTTAAGATAATTTTTTATTTTTTTAACATTCTTTTATTTTGGTATCGTTTAGGCTTTAACATGCACAAAATGATGTCCATCGGCATAAATTCTTTTTTTTTGGTATCAAACCTTTAAAATGACTAATTTTTAGAAGCTCTATATTCTCATGTGTCGAACATAAATTTTATTTTGGATGTATGTTCAAAATTTGTTTAATTTTATTACTCTTTATCATATTAAAGTGGGAATGCTAAATGTATGTAAATTTTTAAATTTGTTTAACTAGCTATATTTCATTTTCATTGTATTTTCTAAGGTAAAACAAAAGATAACAATTAACAAATGATTTCCTATGTTTGAAAGTTGGATCATTGAATATCCTAAAAGTGGAAAGAGTTGGCATTTTATTTGAATTTTACTATATTCTGTTTATCGTGTTCCAGGGCATCAACATGATTTGTTTCTTACTCGCCCAAGTGTTTATTAGTATATAGTCAAACCCTATATATAAGAATCGTAAATGCTATTTTAGATGTTAAAAAAATGGTAGAATCTTCAATCTATTATTGCTTTTTTTTAATTAAGAATTAATCTTTGGTTATGCTTATCGTGCCGCGAGTGGTTTAAATCTATGCAAATGAACATGCATGATATTCGACAACTTTGTATTTTTTTCCAATATAGGTAATATGTATTGTGTTTTTTAACTCTTGAAAATACTTAATTGTGACATTGTTTCAGAACTAACCTCCCTCTTCAACTTTTTAGGATCATTATTGCAATAATGGAGGTTTCTGAAAAGATTGATGATGTCTTTCTTTCTTGGTAACACACTTTTCTTTCTGGATGACCCTTAGGGATTGTGATTCATTTTTGTGTCAAACAATGAAAGCTCTTAGTTAAATTTAAACATTCTACTCCCTCCGTCCCAATTTAAATCGTCTGTTTTGATTTTTGAGCATATTTAAGGAAAATAAAAAATAGAGTTGATTTTCCGAAATTGTCATTACTTTTTAGAAGGGGTGATGATGAATGAGAAGATAAGGTGAAGAAAAGTGACTTATTTTAGGGGTAGTTTAGGTATTTTATTTTTAAAAGTTTACGAAAACAACTAACATGCAACTTATTTTGGGACGGAGAAAAAAGGCAAACAGACAATTTAAAATGGGACGGAGGGAGTAATATTCACCATACCATTTTTTTGTGATTATGTTCTTTTGGATAAAACAGTTTTTTGATTTTATGTTTGAATGGTGTAATTATATCATTGATTCTTTAAACTTTTTAATGTTATATGGAAGATTAATGCTTATAAATGCTCATTCCATATTAAGTATTAGTATTATAAAATGAGTAACAATCATAGGGAAAAATGTGAATAAAGTTTGATTATGTGAATAGTAAATATGTAACTTAATTTGAAAAAGAAAGAATAGAAGTTATAGACTTTGTTTTCATCATTTGTCATTTTAATCTATTTTCACATTACATGTTTCTTTATTCAACTTATTTTGTATGGATATTCTTCTCTAAGGTAATAATTACAAAGTGTTTAATTTTATACTTATATTTGAATTGTTTTAATTTGATTTTTATAAAATATTTTCACGTGCATCGCACCGGTACGAATATGATCAATCATTTGAATCGTCCCAATTGTGAGGCCAAAATGTAGACAATCTAAAAACATACCAAATACGTGTATATATATGAAGAAATTGAATAAAAAAAGAAGAAAAGCGCATTACTTTACCCCTTCTATGTATTCGTCCATCGTCTGCACCGCCGTCAAAAGTTCTCTTCCAGAATTCAACCGTTGTCGTCCATGGGTGAGACTAAAGTGAGTAGCTAAAGTAGTCCGATGTCCCCAGCTCTTTAATTTATTCCAACCTCTCTTTGAATTGTTTTCTCTGATAATCCTTCTATTTACAATGGCAGCAGGAAAAATATTCCCGCCCAAACTACTGCCCGAAAGGTCAGCGGGTAACCTGCCCTGTCAACCCCCACTTACCGCTGATCTCCCTCTATCCATCTACAGAGTATTACTCAACCGCTCACTTTTCTCAACCCATCGCACCTCTGCGTCCTCAACCTCCTCTGCGGTCTTCAGCTCCTGTCGCTCATTTTTTCTGCTGCGGTTGATGGCTAGAAGGCCGCTGGTTAGTTGGTGGAAGTCAATGGATCTTTCTGTCGGCGTTTTCCAGGCACTCACCCAACCAGAGAATGAGGAGTACTCGAAATCAGGAAGAGAAGAAAAAGAAAGGGATAGATTCACTAATTCGAAGAAGGTATCACCCTTTTCTATTTCTATTTTAATCCTTCTATTTACAATGACAGCAGGAAAAAAATCCCGCCTAAACTTCTGGGCCGGTTATTGTAGCTATGGGCCGTTTTTTTTCACTTCCAAACTTTTTGGGCCTCATGAATTTTTTGATAAAAAAAAACTGTTTTTCAAGTGCATCCCACGGCTTTTTTAATTTTAGTATACAATTGTTAAATTTAATAAATATATTAAATCAGTAAAATCTCTGATAAACTTATTTAAAACAATATTTTACAGAATTACTTTAACATATTACTGAGCCTTATTTGTGCAAACAATAATTATACATTGAAAAAAGTTTACAGTATTTTTTTGATTTTATAAAAAATATTATTATTCTTATTATTATTACAAAAAACATAAAATGCTTATATTAATGCAACCAATAATTGAATCAGGAGCTTCACACAAAAAAATGAAAAAGAGAAATATAAACCCACAACCACACTTCACACGATTTTAGGAGAAAAACTGCTATTATTTAATTAAAATAAAAAAAAAACCAGCCCACTTTGTAGCCAGTTTCCCACTTCATACGTATACAACTGCCCACTATGCCTGCACCATAGCCTTATAAATGCAGGCCATTCTCCTTTGCTTCCCCACAATCTCACATTTACACATTCCTACAAAAAAATCACAATGGCAAATGAATCAAGAGATGGAGGTCTGTGGTGCGATTTGCAAGATTTAGACGACGATAAAAAAGAGAAGGGAATTTGTGTTAGAGCCGTTCGGGTTTACGACTTACCTACCCGTGATGGAAGGCCAAGCACAATAGAAGTGATTTTTCATGACTCAAAGGTAAACACTTTAACCATGTACAATCCACAATCAAACAAAGTTTAATAACCAAGCAGACCCCTTTGATCATTTTTTTGCAATATTTTTTGCAATAGGGAACAAGGATTCATGCACGGATTAGGAGGCCTGAAATGAAGAAATTCAGACCCAAAATCAAGGAAGGGGCAGTTTGTGCATTGAAGAATTTCGTGGTGATGCGTAACAATCAGGATTACAAGACCACAAACCACCCTTTTACCCTGACTTTCTATGAATACACACACTGGAAAGACTTAAGTGCATACCGATTTCCAAAATTCATGTTTAACTTCTGTCCTTTTGAGAAGTTATTGGAACCATTGAGCCAGAATCTGCTAACTGGTAAGGATGCACATTTCAATTTTTTTGTAAAAACCTTTTTTGAAGGCCTTAGAATATTTCAATAAAGTTATTTATTATAACCTGGGTATTAACATGCCTGCCATTTTGCAGATGTGATAGGAAAAGTAATTGCAAGGACTGGAATTCAAAGCCGATTTGTTCAAGGAGTTCCACAGAGATTCATTGAGCTGACTTTGGAAGATACAAGGTTACACTATGTCCACATAGAATGTATATTCAACTGAACTCTATTTCTAATGTAAACTTACCAATATTTGGTTTCATAGGGGACAACAACTACGGTGCACTCTTTGGGGAGACTACATTGAAAAGTTCAATGAATCTGTTGGTGCAGGGATCACGAATCCTATTCTAATCGTGCAGTTTGGCCGCCCGAAGGAATACATGAGTACCAATCTATGTTGCACTTATTTGATGCATTTTACCTTCTTTACTTATTTATATCCCATTTTACTAAACAACTTTTCAATTGCAGAAGAAGTGTCTATCTCCACCTCATTCCATGTGACAAAACTAATCCTAGACAATGATTGTGAAGAAGCAAAAGAATTTCTGAAAGCTTTCAAGAATGGGGATGAGGATAGCAGATCCTCAAGTACTTTCACACTCACCCAAAGTAGTGAAGTAACAGAAGATTCCAATGCTAATTTGAGGATTACAACCATCAAGAACTTACTTACTGAAACAGCGGTTAAACTCAGCTATTACAAAAATTATTTACTTAACACTATTGCTTATATTGTGTGCTAACTATACCGATTACAGGATGGGTATTACTGGATAATGGCTGACATAGTTTCTGTGGAAAACTATAAGGATTGGTATTACTTGGCCTGCAACAACAAAACATGTAGCCGAAAGGTTTACGTAGACGGAGATTGTTTCCGCTGTGAACAGTGTGAAAAAACAATGACACATGTCGAATACAGGTAAAAGTGGTTGTCAATGTTGTGAATTATTTGTTTCAATGTTAAAATCAAAAGGAGAACAAAGTGTGTGAAAACAGAATATAAATTTTAAAATTAAACATTATTTAGGTACAAAGTTACACTAACTTTGATGGATGAGAGCGGACATGCAACATTCATTCTATGGGATCAAGAGTGCAAAGAGATAATGGGAATTCCAGCATCAAAGCTGAGAGACATCATGATCGAGGTATGTCTTATATTCATTAATTCGAAAACAAATATGATTGTTTCTCTTATAGACTAAAGATAAATCATGATTTCCTTAGCGCAACGGGGATGACAATGACTTTCCGGTGGAATTAGAACAAGCAGTTCTTTCCAAGAGTGGATTGTTTAAGACCATTCTACGAAATGCAACGTACTACACAAGGATTAAGGGGCCAAGAACTTTTGGTGTATTGAATATGGTAACAGACCCAAAGACAGTTGCAATGTACAAGCCTGTCGTGAAGGAAAGAAAAGAGATGGACGGATGGAGTTCTTATGAATTTGAATTTCTCAACAAAGAAGTGGTAAGGTTACAATATTCCTTGATCACTGAATGTTCAATCTCAGAAAGGTTATACAACAAAATTCATTTTGATTTTGAAACAGATCTGCTCTGGTGAAAAAGGAAAAGATAAGAAAGACAAAGGGAAGCAGAAGATCACTGAAGTGTATGAAGAAGATGAAATGCATCATTCCCTGAAGGATGCTGGGTCAAGTACCAAGGCAAAGAAGGCTAAACTATGCATTGGGTAGGACGGAAGCCTAAAGTCTTTGAGTCTCCAGTTTCGTGTTGTTCAAATCAGTGTCGTCTTTAATAATCTGTCCATAAATATGTTTGGGTCCTGTGTTCAACAGGCATCAAACAAATTTCGGACAGTTCATCTTTTATGTCTTCGTTGCTATTTCCCTTTGAGTCTTTTACTATCATAATGTTGGCAGTTGTGTTGTTTTAATTAAGGTGTGTCTCATCTTTTCCTTCTAGCAAACGTTATAGGTCGTTTGCTCTGTTTATGTAATGTTCGCATCATGTGCACTTACTTATGTTACACTATCTTATGTGTTTGTTTCAATAAATGGATGTTGTTCTAAGTACCATTCCCTATTTTAACGTATGTGGATGTGCCTGTTTCACCTTAATTTTATTTACCTTAATTGTACTGAAAAAAGTTTATTTGAAAACATTAAATTAGTTTTGATGAATAAAAGTTAGAAAAACATGGATTTTCAAATCAATACTGGCTCTCCATAATTAAAAGTAACATTTGGAAAAAATATGTTACACAATAAAAAAGCCTATATAAAATAGGTATTTATCATTAGTAAAACTTAATAACAATGTTTTTCATATAATTAAATACCTTCAAAACGTTTTTTAAAGACCGTAGCACTTTAAAATTAATATTTACTACTTAAAAGTTAAAAAGAGAGGAGTATGAAAATCAGTATTAAGTCACAATTTAGAAAGCAGAAATTGCTATTTTAAAATGTTAAAAAAATGTTTTTTAAAAAATTTTAAAAAATGTTTTTTAAAATGTTATTCCTATTCTTAACCAATGCCCTGTTCGTTAAAAGGTCATTTCCTGATCCCTTTCCCCCGGGATACCCCCCAACCCGCCCGAACCCAAACCTACTCCCCCCAATTGCACCACAACCGTTGATTAAGGATACAAAGTAAGTAAATATCTTTAATCAACGGTAGGGGTGCTATTGGATGTGGTTGGTTCAGGTTTCTTAACGTTGATTAATCAACCCAATATACTATACAGTTAATGTAATTTTCCTAAATATTACTTACAGTGATGGTGCATTAAAGGATTCAATGGAAGTAAAAATCGTATAAATACACTCATCCAACATGTACTAAGCCAATAAACATACATCCATACATTCAGCACAAACAATAATTCAAGAGTAAGAAAATATAGCCAAGGTTTTCCTCCTATAAACTTACTTGAAGAATTTAACATTTTTAGTAGGGAATGGATTATTATAATAATTTTGAAAAAAAAATTGGGTATAATTTAAAAATTTTGTTATCACAATAAAATTCTTTAAAGGAAATATAAATGACATTCAAACATGCATTCAAAAAATAAATTAAGAATGGGCCACGAATAAAAATAAGAGTGGTCCACAATTAAAAATCAGAGTGGGCCACAATAGGTAAGAGTGGGAAACAGATTTGGGTCCGAAATTTATTTTGAGATAAAACAAAAAAAGGATAGTGGGTGGTTTTTAAAAAATTATTAGTTCAATTAACCTCCCTCTCTCACGCGGTTTTTCATCATCTTCACTCAAAACATTTTTTGAGCTGTAAAAGAATTACCTCCCGACCCCTCGAATTTTTTTGTCATCAAAGGTGACTCATGATCTCAAAGAAATGAAGAAAATTACAAAGGGTGGAAAATATAAGATTAAGAGACCTTATGATCCAGGACTTGAAAAAGGTACGAATCTGTTACTCCTTTAAGTTTACTGATAGGAATATAAAGAATAGATATAATAGAAGTTACAAATATATAATTTATTTTCAGTCCTTTAGATCAAGAGAAAATTTTGTCATTAATGTCGATAGGCATGCACGAGAGAATTGTAATTAGGTATAAAAATTTACCTTTGATTGTAATGATAAGGAATATATATATATATATATATATATATATATATATATATATATATATATATATATATATATATATATATATATATATATATATATATATATATAGATTTCGGTTCTGGTGAGAATGCGATCTTAGGAGAGAAATGAGAATGAATCTGGTGCTTTAGATTGTGAGATCTAAGGGTCAGGATTGCATCAAAATTAGATGCACCAAAATAGTTTGAAAATGCATCACGTCGAAATGCATCAAAATCCTTTGAAAATGCACTATCTCAAAATCTGAGCGCAAGATGCAATCTGAGCTGCACGATGCATCAGATCCAACGGCTAGATTTTATTCTCATTTCTCTCCACAAGGTGCATTCTCACAGGAACCGATCCCTATATATATATATATATATATATATATATATATATATATATATATATATATATATATATATATATATATATATATATATATATATGTATATATATATATATATGTACGTACAATAAAAAAATTTATGATTTAGAAAAAGCATATAGGTTAACAATCAGAGGTAAATGTATTGAGGTACTGAAAGATACTACAGGTTATTCGAACCTGTTATTCATCAATCTCATGCGTCGAAAGCTTCCTACAGATTACAAAATAGGTTTTAAGAATATGTTTTATAGAGAGTAAATACAATATAGATAAAATATTCAAGGTATGTTTACCTTTTCTGTTCCCGATAAGCACACATATACCATAAGTTCCTGAATAAATAAACCAAGTTAGATTTTAGGGTATTGACTAAAAATTCATAAATGTGTTAAAAACATAGGTGTTTGAACTTATCTATAATCTTTGGACCGAAATTAACAGCATCCCCTGCATTAAAAATGAATATACAGCATTCAAATGTCAGCCATATTTTTGGTTCATTTTATTTAATATTTTTTGAGAAAATTAATTAAAAAAAGTTAAAATTAAATAAAATTATACCTTTCAAAGCAGACATAGCTAGGAATCTCTGACCTCTGGACCATTAATTCCTTTAAGCATTGATAGATATAATATTCGTAAATGCAGGTGCTCAAAATTTTAAATATATTGTTGTGTGTTTGAAAAAATTAATCAAAACCCTTTACATCTGCACTAGATTAAATACTTCACCCGAAAAAAAAGCTCATTTGACTTTTATTAAATACAAGGACTTATTATATGCATGGGCTCAAAATTAAAAATATTATGTTGCATTCTTGAAAAAAAATTGTATATCTCGGACTGAAATTCAAATATAATAAAAAATATTTATAAACCCATCGGCCAAGATATTATATCTTAGATCAACAAAAAAACACCAATGAAAAGTACTCATCTCGAGCCATCGGCATCACAGAAAAATTATTCTGTTAGATCATGAATAAAAATCGAAGCTCTTGGGACTCGACGCAAAAAAAAAAATAGATAACGCACATGAAGATTCATGTACCTAAAGCTCAAATAAACTCATAGTAGATCTATTACCCAAGAAGATTCATTAGTAAAGACCTTGATAATAAATCCCAGACTTCATCTTCGTATAGAATCGGTCTATGTAAAACACTAAAAACATGACAAAAAACAAAAAAAATAGGAAAAATCATCAGGAATCAAATCAAAACATAGAGAGAGATTAATCCAAAATAAAAATCAAAGTCTCGAAACCGAGCCTTCAGTTTCTCATCGACACGATGAACACGAAACAAAAAAAAATCAAACTACATAAAGAGTGATTATTCCAAAAAAATATATGTCTCGAAACCAATGCTTCAATTTCTCATCGACACGATGAACACTAAACAAAAAAAAATCAGAAAATAGATATGAAAAAGATAAATTTGAATATATAAGAGATAGAAGAGTAAGAGAGAAAGAGAGAGAGAGAGAGAGAGAGAGAGAGAGAGAGAGAGAGAGAGAGACGGAGACGGAGAGAGAAGCGGCGTATGGGGGGCTGGTATAAATATTGAGGGTTTACTCCGTATTATTTAGGGCTGGGTTATGGGCTTGGTGTAGTATGGGGTTAGGGATGGCGGGCTGGGATGTTACATTGGGCTGGGTGGGCTGGGCAATTGGGTTTAGATTATTTGTTTGGGTTAGGAAATTTATACACTAGATAATGTAGAAAAAACATTTTATGACATTGATGTAATATTATATTCTAAAATTATAATTTAATTTTAAATATATTATATTAAAACACATTGATATTAAACTATGAATGTAAATCTTTATATTATTTAAGAATACTAAATTTTAATGGTGGATTGTTTTTCAGAAAATGAACGGGTAATTCGATCAAAACCATCATCAGGGATTTTTGAGTTCAATTCGACCCGTGGATGCAATATTGGTCCAACAAAATCTGCAAATTTTACTCATGGTATATGTACTTTAGTTTCAATTAATATATATTTTACATAAGTTTAATGTAATATTTTATTACTTTTTTTTTAATGATTTTTAATATTTTCAGGAACATCAATTCATACACCTAATTCTTTGCGTCCCTTGCGCTCAATTGATACGAATTCTACAAAGTCTAACTTCCGATGCTATCAAGAATCTGAATGTGAATCAATGAATGTAGCTAGAAGTGGTGTTGACCCTAATCTGAAAGATAAAGAAAAGCTCTGCAGTGTGAATAAAGGTTTGTACACACATCATTTATCTGACTACTTCTCTACATATTGTGATTTTATTGTTTATATTTAATTTTATACAAAATTATTTTGATGAAACAGGTATTGTCGTTCCATCGACATCTACTTCTCAGATGATAACATTGCCTTCGCTACTTTTGCAAAGATGGGCCATTGATCCCGATGTTTGTGAAAATGTACAAGACTCTGGTGGGGTATTAGTTTCGAATGACATCGGCTCGGATTCTGAAATGTGTTACGAAGATCATTTGAGTAAGAGTAAAAAATTCTTCACAAGTCAAGTCGATAAACTTCCAACGATCAAGTATTGGGACATTGGTGATCCAACTTATGTTTGCCAACATTGTAAGGCTTTTTTCTGGTATGAAGAGAGGATTGTTAGTACTTCGACAAAACGAAACCCAAAGTATTCGTTGTGTTGCAAGAATGGAAAGATTACTCTTGCACCAAACAAGGAACCTCCAGAAGAATTAGAACAATTAGTGTATGGATCAAGTCCACAAAGTAAGCATTTTCAGACACATATTCGTTCATACAACTGTATGTTTTCATTCACATCATTGGGAGGGAAAATTCAGAGAGATGAAAACCTAGGTCGTGGCCCTCCAGTTTTTAAGTTAGGAGGAAAAAATCACCACCGAATCGGTAGCTTACTCCCAGATGACGGTTCACGTCCTAATTTTGCTCAGTTATATATTTACGATACCCAAAACGAAGATTTCAACAGAATCAATGCATTGCGGTATAGTTTCTCATCCACCGTGTTTTTTGTATATACATGATGTGCATTTTATTCATTATTAAATGACATATTTTATTTGAATTCTTTAGGGGAGAGGACCGTGTTGATAGTTTACACAGAGAGATTGTGGTGATGTTAAGGGCAATGTTGGACGGGCACAATGTTTTGGTAAAGTCATTTCGTATCACTCGAGACAAAATTATAGAAACCGGAGATGTGTCAGTTTCTTTGAGACTTATAGGGAAGAGAACCACAGATCCGCGGAGATATAATCTACCCTCTGTTGACGAAGTTGCTGCATTGGTTGTTGGTGATATTGATCGGTCGGTGGGAGAGAGGGACATTGTGGTACGGACACATTCAGATAAATTGCAACGAATAAGCGAGCTCAACCCTGCTTATTTAGCTCTACAGTATCCACTGCTTTTCTCGTATGGTGAAGATGGATATCGTGAAGATATTTCTTTTAGAGATGAGGAAGCATTTAATGTTGGTGGAAGAAGAAGTGTGAGCATTAGGGAATTTCTTGCATATAAATTTCACGAGAGGGAAACAGAAAATCCTTTTATACTTCACTCACGCAGATTATTTCAAGAAGTTTGTGTTGATGGATTCACAATGGTGGAATCATCAAGGTTGTGTTATTACAGCACGCACCAAAAAGAGATGCGATGTGAGATGTATAATCGTTTATCAGATTCATTGTTAAGCGATGATAATGATGCGTCGACAAAGGGAAAACGTGTTGTACTACCTCCGTCATTTGTTGGGGGGGTGCGATACATGATTCAAAATTATCAAGATGCAATGGCTATATGTAGGTGGATTGGATATCCAGATCTATTTTTAACATTTACGTGCAATCCCAAATGGCCCGAAATTGAACGGTATTTAAATGCCAGAAATCTTAGTGCTCAAGATCGACCTGACATTGCATGTAGGGTGTTTAATGTTAAGTTGAACGGCCTAATGCATGATATGAAGAAGAATGAGTTATTTGGAAAAATTCGAGCAGGTAATATGATAATTAATTATATGTGTTATTTATTTGACAGACAGGTATTGTTTAGTACATAAAATAACTACTTAATCTTCACACTTGCAGCAATTTATACAGTAGAATACCAGAAACGTGGTTTGCCGCATGCCCACATTTTGTTATTTCTAAGCCAGCAACACAAGTTTCCAACTCCCAAAGACATTGATCGAATTATTTCAGCGGAGTTACCCGATGAAGAGGCCGATCCTGCATATTACAATGCAGTTCGAGATTTTATGATTCATGGCCCATGTGGTCAGAATGCTTACCGTGCACCGTGTATGAAGAATGGAAAATGTGAAAAGCACTTTCCAAAAAATTTCAATGAGGAGACAAGCGTTGACAAAGATGGATATCCTAAATATCGAAGGAGGAATGATGATAGAACAGTCACGAAGAATGGGGTAACGCTTGACAACCGTTATGTAGTCCCACATAATCGTTATCTCCTTTTGAAGTACGGTGCTCATCTTAATGTTGAATGGTGCAATCAGTCACGATCAATCAAGTACTTATTCAAATACATAAATAAAGGGCATGATCGTGTCACAGCAGAATTTTATGCTAATACAGATACTGCACAGGATACATCAGCAAAGCCTCCGAATGAAATAAAGATGTATTACAATTGCAGATACGTCTCTCCCTGTGAGGCTGCATGGAGGATATTTGGATTTCCAATTCAATTCAAATTTCCAAATGTGGAACGCTTGAGCTTTCACTTACCGAATGAACAGTGGGTATTTTTTGAAGATGGTGACAATCCCCATGAAGTTGTGCGTCGTGAGAGTATACGAGAGAGCAAATTTCTAGTTTGGATGAAAGCAAATAAGAAATATCCTCACGCGAAGAATTTAACATATGCTGAATTTCCCCAACATTTTGTATGGAAAGATGGTACAAGAGAGTTTGTCCCACGTCAAAGAGGATTTGCTATAGGTAGGCTAACATATGTTCCTCCGGGTTTAGGTGAGCCATACTATTTGAGAATTTTATTCAATATAGTTCGTGGGCCGACGAACTATGAAGATATAAGGACAGTAGATGGTTGTGTACATAATACCTACCGCGAAACATGTTATGCTCTTGGATTATTAGACGATGATAAGGAATATCTTGATGCTTTCAATGAAGGCAGCCATTGGGCATCGGCAGGACAATTGAGATGTTTGTTTGTAACCTTGCTTACAAATGAGTCAATGTCTAGGCCTAAGTATGTATGGGAAGAATGCTGGGAGTGCATGGCCGATGATATCTTATTTCGTCAACGACGACTACTTAACCATCCAGGTGAAATAAGATTTTATTTCTCGATATACAGCAAATCACTTATATATCTATTATACTATGAAATTTGTAATTCTAGCTTATTTTTTATTTTTAGATTTGGTACTGAGCGAAGATGAATTACGAAACTATGCCTTGATCGAAATCGAGACATTGTTGAGAGTACGTGGCAAGAGCTTGCATGAATATGTTGGAATGCCATATCCAAATTTGGAGAATATATGTGTCGAGCGGAATAGAATGATTTATGATGAATTGCAATATGACCGCATCGCTTTAAGTCACGAACACCTAAGTTTGTTGCTGAAGTTGAATGTGGAACAACGTGCAGCATATGATAATATCTCTGAATCGGTGGACAATGGAGACGGGAAAGTTTTCTTCCTATACGGCTATGGAGGAACTGGGAAAACATTCGTTTGGAAAACTTTATCATCGTTTTACCGCTCAAAAGGAGAAATAGTGTTGAATGTTGCATCGAGTGGTATTGCATCGTTATTGTTGCCGGGAGGAAGAACTGCACATTCACGTTTTGCTATCCCACTACATCCAGACGAGAGTTTCACCTGCAACATCAAGCAAGGTACTTCGTTGGCTGAATTATTAATTCGCGCCAAACTTATCATTTGGGATGAAGCACCAATGACACATAAACACTGCTTTGAAGCATTGGACAGAAGCTTGCAGGACATAATGAGTTCGATTAATCCTTCAAATGGAAATAAACCTTTTGGGGGGAAAACAATTGTTTTTGGCGGTGATTTTCGTCAAATCTTACCAGTAATTCCCAAGGGAACCAGACATGATATTGTTAGTGCAACAATCAATTCATCATACCTTTGGGATCATTGTATAGTTCTGCATTTAACAGAAAATATGAGATTGCAATCTATGGTGCACGCAGAAAACTATCATACTTTGGTTGAATTCGCAGAATGGATTGCTAATATTAGTGATGGGAATGTAGGCGATGAAAAAGATGGGTGTGCAAAAATTGTTCTTCCTGATGATATTATTTTGAAATACTCCAATGATCCCATCGAGGCAATTGTGCAATCAACATACCCAGATTTTAACATCATCGCAAACGACCCATCGTACTTGCAACATAGAGCCATTCTAGCGCCAACATTAGATGTGGTAGATGTTGTTAATGATTACATGACATCAAAGAATGTGAAGGAGGAGTCCAAAACGTACTTAAGCTCGGATAGCATTTGTAAGTCAGACTCAAACGTGGATGTTTTATCTGATTTGCATTCACCCGAATTTTTAAATGGCATTCGAGCTTCAGGTGTTCCAAACCATGTGCTTACGTTGAAGGTCGGTACCCCAATCATGCTTCTTAGAAACATTGATCAATCTATGGGCATGTGCAATGGCACAAGATTAATAGTGACAAAATTGGGGAAGCATCTAATTCAAGGAAAAGTCATGGGAGGAAAAAATGACGGCCATGAAGTTGTTATCCCAAGACTTTCATTGACTCCTTCGGATAAAAGGATTCCTTTCAAGTTCCAAAGGAAGCAATTTCCTGTCATGACTTCTTATGCAATGACCATTAACAAAAGTCAAGGTCAATCATTATCGCATGTTGGGCTACTACTTAAAAAACCAGTCTTCAGTCACGGCCAGCTATATGTTGCTCTCTCCCGTGTGACGAATCGTGAAGGACTAAAGATCCTATGCTGTGATGAAGAAAACAATCCTTTGGACTACACTTCAAATGTTGTATATAAAGAAGTCTTCCAGAATTTATAATGCATTCTTATATGTTTAATTTATTTATGTGTAATGCACTCTTATTTAATCTAAAACTATAAAGTGCATTGTTGTTCGATAAATGCAGTATTCGGGTGTGATATATATTAAATTGTATTTTTCACCACAATAACTCGATTTAAAACATTTATTCTTTACAAAAATAAAGTGATTTATTATTATATTATTCTGACCGTGCATCGCACGGGTAAAATCTAGTTTCTTTACATCTATAGTAGTATTTGCAGTTTTTTATTTTCATGGAGGCGACGTTCGGCACAGGAGGGTAGGACGAATGGCCATGGTTTCAGGCGAGGATAGTGCTGGGTCGATTTGTGCTTTTGATCGTCTTCCCAGAATCCCAGGTATCCTCTAAAATTTCATGACTCAATTTGTAGAGTTGGAAGAGAAATTCTCACCCCAGTATTGCAGAAGTTATCCGCACATAGGTCCAGGCTGTAGCGTGTTTTCAACTTTTTTTCTACTTCATTTTAGTTGTATTGTGTTGTTGTAAATCTTCTGCAAATGTTCTTCAAGGTCTAGGAAGATCCCGTCCCTTTTAAGTTTGTAGATTTGCACGGGTAAAGAGTTGTCACCACGTGTTCTATGAAATGTTTTAGTGAGTCTGTGAACGGAACTCCAACAAGTTAGGCTGAACAAGAAAACTATCGCAGCCCGTCATGCTCTTTATCTGTTTAGTGTATGTCATTTTCATCTATCTTAAACACTTCTTTACTTTTTCAAAAAACACTTCTTTACTTTTTCAAAAAACACTTCTTTACTATCCTTCTATTTACAACAGTAGCAGGAAAAATATCCCGCTCAAATGTTGTATCAACTGTTCAAGCACGACCTCTAGAACACGATCTGTAGACACTAGAATCTCGCCACCAATTTCCTCTATGTCTAGATAAGGTTGAAGCATGTGTAAACTGGATACCTCGCTCTTAGCCGTGCAACGCACAACAAGAATTTTCTTCCGATCCTCATCATGCTCCAAGCCTAGGCCAGATCGCTACCGCCTGAAGGAAGAGGACAATGATAAAGGGGTAACGATGCAAACAGGAAGGACGGCATCACAGGTTAGGGAAGAAAACAAATATGAATTTTGATATATTAAATTTCAAATCTAAAAAAATGTGTTTGGTGAATATAAACAGAGATTCAGAATTGATATCTTCAGATATGGAATATCTGGAAAAACACTACTACTCTAAAACGGATTGATGTTGCCGATTTCAAATACTGGGAGCTGATTTCAAAGTCCAGTTCAGATGAGTGATATGCTATTGTGTCCTAATCATTTTTTTTCTTTGTGTTTTGTTATAATAATACTTAGGTTTGAAACTCACGACTATTCCTTTGTGTTTTGAAACTCACGGCTATTATGTTTCAGACTATTTTCCCTGCAATTGATATATGCATTTTAAGTGGGATGTGGACTTCATGACATACATCTTAGATTTGTTTTATTTAGTATTGTATGGAACCATCTTAGTTCTTCTTAGATATTCATTACCTATATTGCAGGTGATGCTTTATTTTTGCCAAATGAGTGATGTTTAAAGGGTCTGATTCAATCATTTTTGAAGGAACATAAGGTAGATTTTGTTATTAACAGATGAGGAAACTATGTACTTGCTTACATATTCTTATTTAATTTCTTTAACTATACATGCCCTCATATGTATATCTCTCTGATGGATGTAACCATTGAGACTTAAAAGACATGACAAACATGATCCAAATTTGGTAAAACAAGATGACGAAGTAAAAATTAAACTTCAAAGTGCATCCATTGAACACACAAAAGTCAACCGACTTTGCAACATTGGAGAATTAGTTTATTTAAGCATTGCAGAGATGAAGAAGATTACACATTTGGCAGGAGAGTTACAATAACAAATAAAAGAAAGTCATTGTGCTTTGGGGGAAGCAAATGTTCAGATTCTGATCTTCCTGGCAGGTAATTGATGATGCTTGGTTGGTGTATTTTGTTCATATAATATAAATATTTTCTTCAACATTCATATTTACATTTAATTGGATAGTCTAAAATGTTAATATTTTAGTATTTTACTCTTGATCCCTTTATCACCAACCGTACTTTCACTCTATCGTCTCTACTCCATTTTCAAATCTGTTCAAAAATCAAACAATCCCACTGAAATTTATGCATGCTTTCGATTTCTATATCATCTTCTTCTTCCCATAAAGGTAATTTGTAGCTTATTTTTGGTTTAGAGCTTTAGAAGTGAATGAATAGGTCTCTCACAAATTTTTGACACCAAAGTAGATCCTACTTAAAGTTTATACTCCAACCCTATTTTGTGTTGTAATTTTTGTTGTTATAAACTTGTAGTTATATTTTGTTATTCTCTTTGTTAAACGAAAAGTTGGGATTTAAGTTAAATTCAAATGGGATTCATTTATTTTCTATCAACAAAAAATGGTTTAGTGGTGGTAATTATACGCACTCTAACTCACAAATTTGAAGATTAAATGTTTTTACTTTGCTCTTGGAGCATGTACTACTCACGAACACTTTCCATGATTGATATTTGTAGGTTTAATGTTTGAATTGGTCTTTTTAGGTTAATGTTGCATTTTTATATGTAGCCCGTGCTCATCATGAAATCAATTTCATTTTTTTCTTGGTAATTAAAAATCTAACTCACTTTTTAATATTTTTTGTAGAGAAAAATATACAAGGATAATTTTTTTATCAAGAATGTACTCATTTATGTTAGTAATAAGGCTTGAGTTTCATCAACAAAAAAATCAATAAACAAGGCGTGGATTTCACCAGGAAGCGAGGATTGGTTGTACTTTTTCATGAGAAATTCAAATGAGCATGCCATTATCCTTAATGTGAAAAGGTTTTGAGTCTCTTTCTAAATTAAGGGTATCATAGTGTTGTAAGTAGACACTTTTATGGATGTTGGGGATGATGAGGCCAAATTATTTACAGGTATGAAGAAGATGTCCTGGTGATTTACTACTTACTCTCTTTGTTCTCCCATACGGAGTAATAAAATAAGTTTTGTTGTGCATGTTGCACGCAAAAGTAAAGTTTAAATGACGGGTAACTTAGAGCTGGATTGGGCCACACTTAGAATTTTTGTGAATAAAGAAGTTTTTTAGAATTTGTTACTCTTTCTTATTTTATTTGTATCAAGCACTGCTATTCGATGAAAAATATTTTAAGAATCAATATTAAGGCAGAGTTATATATCTTGAAATTCGTAATGTTGTACTTGGTATTATTTATATTTTACATAACTTATACTCCGTATTATACAAAGTAATATTCTTACCGTGCATCGCACGGGTTAAAATCTAGTTTTTTCTTAAACCTACACAAAAGGGGAGCGGCAGCTAACGTGAGGTAAAGGCTAACATAGGCTAACGTGAAACCTACACAAAAGTTCTCTATGACTCATGGAATCCTAATTAGTCATTATTTTCATCAATTCTTTTTTATAAAATAAATAATACTCCCTCCGTCCCCCAGTATTTGTCCACTTTCATTTTTACACACCATTCAATGCACTTCTTTAATCCATTTTATCTTGTAATTTGTATATTAGAAAATTATAGAAATTATATATTAATAATCTATATGTTAAGACAAATTAAACAAGATCACACATGACGATATTTAAGCTTACACATTGAGACAATTTGATGAGTCAAAATACTTAGATGAACAGTTCCAAAATTCAAAACTAGACAAATATTGGGAGACGGAGGGAGTAATACAAGCTATCTTTTATAGAATTTATTTTGATTTCATTTTGCAATGTACTTGAATAAAATTTATTTATTTAATTATATACTCCATCAGCCCCAAAATTAAATTACTTATTTACTATCATGTAGTCATACTTTATTTAATTTATTTCCTTATTTTTGGTGATCATTTGATAGAATAGTATAATCATGTCACTATTAATTTTGTATGTTTTTTGATGTATTCTTTAAGTATGCAATTTTTATTTTTTAATTCAATCCTGTTTTTCATATAATATGATTCGACGAATTAAGTAGTTTAAATTGGGACGGCGAGAGTTCAAATTTTCATATAAATTAAAATGCACAGAGTAAGATAATTATAGTTCATATTTGGGAGCATTCTCCAACTAGGACCAAAACATAGGTCCATTCCTAAATACAGTAAGAGCACTGGTAATGGTCATGAAGCCCTGGGGCTTCAAACCGGGGCTTTAAACTTTCTCTCTCTGCCCCGTCAACTTTAACTTACACCCAAAATTCACTGGAAATGGTTTTGAAGCCCCGGGGCTTCAAACCTTCATTTTTTACATTTTTAAATATACATCTTCTAAAATTAAATTAATAAAATGTAATTAATTTATTATTTAATTAAATTGAAACACGAATAATAAAAAAATACATTAATTAAATAAAAAAAAGCGACAATAATTTAAAAAAATATACATTAATAAAAAACTAAGGTAAATTATATTTCTCCTTGATCTCTCTCATTCTTTGCTCATAGATCATTCGTCCAAACTCCGACAACGTCCCGGGGTCGGTTTGCATGACTTTCATCTCGGCCTCCTGCTCCTTTAGCTTCAACTCCTTCTCCTTTAGCTTCAACCTCTCTTGTTCTTGGAGATTGAACGCCCGAAGTTGTTCAATCATTGCCCAGCCGATTTCGTCGCGGGGAGAAGCGGAAACAGAGGCGGACCCTCCCGAACCAGAGGCAATGGATTTTGCCTTCTTTCTTCCGATCGGCCTCGGAATTGGGTCCTCGTCATCGGAATCCGCAACGTTGAAGGGAGGGATTTGATCGGTAGAACCGATAGTCTCGTTGACCTCAACCTCGGCGTCGACGGTGGATCTTTTCCGGAACGATCCGCCGTCGGGATTGTTGAGTTGTTGCCACTTCGGGGAACGACTCAAAATCCTCCAAAGATCGATAGGCACCTTGCCTTGGTTCCCGTCGTCTTGATACCGGGTCGTGGCAAGCCGGAGAACATCAGCGTCGTTCGTGCCGCTCCTCCGGAACCGGGAGCATTCCTCATAAACTCCCATAAACTTTCAGACTTTTTTGTTGATGTGGCTCCATTTGGAAGTGAGTTGGTCCCGGGTTCGGTAGGAGCCGTCCTTCTTCATCGCCGTGAAGAACTTCTCCTCGATACGATCCCACATCGCATCCTTCGTTTGCTCCGTACCTTTAAAAATGTATTACACAATTTTTTTAGACACCATTAAATATAATATATATAAATAAAAATATAAATATATTTGAAAAAATAAATTTTTTACCAATGATAGGATGTTCGGAGACGTCAACCCAAGCCGACGCCAATATGCACTCCTCCTCCGGCATCCACTTTTGGATTGACTGTGCCGCCTCGGTCAACGTGCTTTTGGCTTTGTGGCTCCTCCGACGTGTACTTTTTTCCGATCCGGACGGTTCCGGTTGAGTCTCCGGAACCGAATCTCGGTCGACGTACCCCGATTGTTGGGTCTCGTACATCGGCGGTCGATCGCCCAACTCTTGGTAATACCACATCGCGGCGTCGACGGGCGTGAGATTGTCGGGAAAGAAGCCGGAGCCGTAAGGATTCATGTTGAAAATTGGGAGGGGGTAATTTCAAATTTAAAATTTGAGAAGAAGAAGAGATTGAAGATGGAGAAGATGTGAGAGATTGGGAGGGGGGGGGTTTGAATTTATAAGATTTTTTTTTTTTTGAAATGGGGTGCAACGGCTATAAAGCCGTTAGGGAGGGGGAGGGGAATGGAATGACGCCGCGTCATTCCTTTGACGCAGGGCCGATCACGCCCGATCACGCCCGGAGGGGGGCGGTGTTTAACGCCGCTGGGGCGTTAAACGCCCCATCATGCCGGCGGGCGTGAAGCCCATTACCAGTGCTCTAAGACTTACGGAGTATATAGCTTTCCTTCAGCAAATAAGACTTAATTAATTAATAAGACACAAATACACATTTCCATCTTTTCTCCCTTCTTTTTTTTTTCTTCACTCACGGTCCACTGTTTCCTCCCTTCATTGATCGCCGGCCGTCGGAATCTTCTTAAGTTAAAATGTAAAATAATTATAGTTAAATTAGGACGGAGGGAGTACAATTTCCTAAATTAATTAATAAGACTAAAATAGATTACAATATTTGATCAACAGAAAAATTAATTACAATGTTTGATTTCCTAAATTAAAATGTAAAATAATTATAGTTAAATTGGGATGGAGGGAGTAAAATTTTTTCATTTGGGAGAATTTCCAAAGTAGGACCGAAACATAGCTCTTTTATATTTCTAAACAAGACCTGTATAGTTTTCCTTCTCAAATAAGACTTAATATTAATAAGACACAAATACCTCTTTCCCTCCTTTCTCCTTTCTTTTTTTTCCTTCTTCACTCACTATTCACTGTTTCGTGTCCACCCCTTCACTCACTATCCATTGTTTCCTGTCCACCCCTAACATGTCTTCAACGCCCCATGCAAAGACAACGAATTTGTCCCTCAGGACTTGAACGATTCTTGCTCGAAGGTCCGCGCCCATATTGACTCTGAGCTTGATCTTCTTCTCTGTCCACCCTGGGCCATCCTAGGGCCATCCTTCAGAAGCTGCATTGTGATGGTGTTGATCTTCAGATCTTGGGCATCTACCTTCTTGGTCTGCTTCTCGTAGCACTACTTAGCTAACCTCTGGTTTCCTTTGCAAACCCCGATCCCTGAGTATGTGAGAAACTTCATGCACATGTACTTGAAGATACGATCGTTCGCATCGAGATCCTTCAATCCTAATCGGCCAATGATTAAGTTGTTGCCCCTGTGAGTCATACGACCATGAACTCAATGGGGATGGTCTTTCTGTGTCTGTCGCCGAAGGTGACCATTACCTCGACGAGTCCCTCGGCGTCAACGATGTCGCCCGTGAACCCAAATAGAGAGGTTCGAATCCTCTTCAAGGATTCTTTCTTCAGACCTAACTCCTCAAATGTCTTATTGTACATGATGCTAGCAGAGCTGCCGGTGTCAACATATGAACCATGTATCTGGACATCGTCAATCGTGCACTTGACCACAGAACGTGTCCTGATGAGGGGAGGGGATCTGAGGCAGATCCTTCGAGCCGAACATGATAGCCTCATGTCTCAGGCTGCATGGACCTACTTCTTCCTCTGCTCGATCGAGTCACCCCCGATGTTGCCACCGTAAATCATCCTCATCTCCTCAACTCTTCTCTGATTGGGAGCGGAGGCCTCGACCTCACTCCACATTCTTATTAGAAAGTATAAAGGACAAAATTGCTCTTCTAAAATAAATGTATCATAGCTTTATTTATCCATTCAACCCTCTTACTTTTTAAATATTATACCAAAAAATATTTCACCATTTTAATTGTCTGTCTATAGAATTATTATATTAGTATTTGAAAACAAAGACTATATGTTTTTTTTTGAATAAACTCCTAAAATGATTCTTTATAATAGGTTGTTTTCCCAAATTAGTTTTCAATAAACAATAATTACCACATGATAATTTATAATTGAGATATTTTTTGATAGTCCTTTGTAAAAATGTCCCTCAAATTATAATTAAGTTTAGTGTATATTGGTATTTTTTATCATAAAATTGTGATGAATTTCTTAAAATAGTATTTTCAAATTGAATATTCTAGCAAATCACCCATCATGATTTATAATTATAATATCACTCCAACTATTAGACTATTATCATGAAAAAAATTATAATTTTAAAGTACCATGTAGGTAACTATTGTTTATTAAGGACCGTACTGTTGAAAAGAAAATTTCTCAATTATGAAATACTACCATATAAGTAATTATTATTTATTGAGGATCAATTTAAAAAAATGTCTTATATATGGGAAAAGAACATTTTGGAAATTCACTCTTTAAAAAATTTATAAACTTTATATATTTTTTAAACTACTCAACATTTTTACATTTTATGATTTTAAAAAAGTACAGAATTATATAAATGTCGATAAACGGGTATCATTATTAAAACTACAGCTTTTAATATATACGGAGTATATAATAAATAAAGTTATAATATTTTGAATTATATATCTAGTAATTAAGAAATATTTATATTAACTTATGCTATATAGTATGTATTAGAAAATTAAATTAAAAGCTGTAGTTTCAATAATGGCGGACATTTGTTGACATTTACACAAGTCTTTGTTTTTTAAAACTAGACTCGTACCCGTGCGATGCACGGGCGATTAATTTATATATAATTAGTGAATGTTTGGAATAATGGAAAATGTTACAAAATTTGAAAAAGTATATAATTTAATATAATTCCCCCAAAAAGGAAATTCTATACAATAATAACCAAAGTGGATATGAAGTGTTGAAAGTTTTGGAATACTTCTTTATAAACTACATGTGTAGAAAATGATATATTGTTAATATTTATCGTTTTAAATTTAGAATATTTTACCCTTAAAAGTTTATTATTTTAAGAAAATAAACAATTTATTTTGAGACGAACAAAAAAAAAGAAGCAATTTAAAATGGGACAAAAGGATTATGATGTTTTACTTAAAAAGTTAACAATAAAATCAAATATGTTATCCATTTCTTGTAAGCGTAGAGAATGATAAATTACTAATATTTATCTTTCTAAATTTGGAATTTCATAACAAAAAATTAACATTCATTATAATCATAATAGGCATACAAATAGTTAACATTCTAAAAATTCATTAAAGAGCATGCGAGATACATTACATATATACTCCGTAATACTTTCCAACATTCTTTGTACCTTACAAAAAAAGCTAACATTCACGCTTAAAAGCAGCATAGTGAAATATTCAATTAAGAACATAATGATTGTTAAAATATTTTTTGTTTGAATTAAGCTCATTTAGAATTTTATTAATATAAGTTTTTAAACATGTTAAATAAAATAACAAAAAAATGGTCCTATTTGACCGCAACCAACCCGATTAAATTCTAAATTGAATCTGAATTGAAAAATTAAATATTCAAAATTGACCCGTCAAAATTAAACTCAAACCCGAGTTAAATTGGGTCGGAATTAAATATACTCAAACCCATCAGCCCATTTATTAAGACCCTTACAAAAAAATTATTTTAAACTAATCCTCAGCCCAATTGTATAAATCCAGCCCACTACTACCCTTCAACCCAGCCCAGTAATAAAACCTAAATACGGAGTATATTCTAACCTACCCAAACTGGATCTCTCTCGCTCACTCCATTTCCGCCTCTCGCTTGTCTCGGTCTCTCCATCTCTATCTCTACGCCGCCGGAAAGCCGTCGCTGTCTCGGTCTCTCCCTCACCGTCACTCCCTCTCTGTCTCGGTCTCTCCCCCTCTGTGTCTACGCTCCCGGAAAGCCAAGATGATTTTCAATAGATCTTCGTTTATGGATGTAAGATTTTTATTTCTATGGATCTTTCTCTCATATCTTTTTACAAATTCTTTCTTTCTCACTTAACTCGTTTTTTTTGAAAACTAATAATCAAGGATCCGATTTTGTGTGTGTGTGTGTGTATCATAATTTGTTGTTTAAAGATCCGATTATATTATTTTTTTTTTGAAAATTAATAATAAAAAATCTGATATATATTAACTATATTTGATAAAACAGATTTAAAAAAATTTATTTTGGAATAAAAATAGAATAAAAAGTGAAGAGATAGGAGTAAAGTCACATAAGTATATAGTGGAAATGTGTGGTTGAAGTGTTTATTGAATTTTCCATCTTGTGCTCATCGATTTGTCACTGGGTTTATTTATTTAATTTCCACTTGTTTTCTTATATTTTTTTCTCATTCTAATTTACACAATTTATTTGGAATTAATATTTCTTGACTGCATTAGACCCAACTGCCTATCATGCTCCCCATGTTTATTTTTTTTAATCGTTTTAATCCGATGTTTATACAAACACACACACATACATACATACATACATACACATACACCATTGCCCAATGAGTATTTTTTCTGGAAATAATATGGAATGGATTATATATATATATATATATATATATATATATATATATATATATATATATATATATATATATATATAAAATTTTCAGAATTATATATATACACGTGCACACACACACATATATACATACATATATGTGTATATATATATATATATATATATATGTATATACTTATTTTGTGTACTGTTAGATTACTATGAAAAAATCTACATTTTTTCAAATGAAAAAAAATGTTTTAAGTTCTTTAATAAGAAAACCCAAATAATGTGTGTTCTTATTAAATTTTATATATATATATATATATATCACTCGCCTTGTTGTTCAAGAGAATTAATATACATATACTTATTTTATATATTATATTATATATATAATTATTACTCCGTATTAACGTAATACAGGTCCCAACATCGGAGTATGTGTCTAAAGAAGAAACACCATTGTTGTGGAGAGCTAGATGCTCAATGAGAAATAGAAAGATTGAATGAGAAATAGAAAAGTGGGAATATGAGGAGTTGTGGTGTTGGTGAATCAGAGAATGGCCTATTATATATACTATCAGGATTTGTGAGATTGGTATGAGATATAATGTTAGATTTGACACAAAGTTACTTTTTCATCTACTTTATGGAGCCACTCAATTTTTTTTCCCAAAGCAAGTTTATGGAATCACTAAAAATAACTTTATGGAACAACTAAAAATAACTTTATGGAACCACTAAATTTTTGTTTCCCAATGCAACTTTATGGAAAAACTAAATTGAATAGACATAAAGTAATTGCATTGAGTCCAACACCACGCCAGCTGTATACCGCAGCCCCATAAAGATGCACCGCAACCCCATAAATTGTCAGCCGCATGCCCAAAAGAAGACCAGAAAAATTGGCCCATTAACATCAGCCCAGTCCGGCCCAAGTGATGGAGGAGAAAATGGCGGGAACACTGTTCATAAGCTCCTCTTACCATTGTATATAGGAAGATTAATAAAAAGAAAAAGTGGTGAATTTTTATTTAATTTTTTTAATACATAAATCTTTGTTTTAAAAAACATACTGTATAATCTTATTTTATACGGAGTAAATACTAGTAACATAACTATGTAGAATGAAAGAATTAAATTGGTGAAATAAGAAAGTGAGGCTAGAATGGATTAGCCAATAGTCTCTTTTGTTTTTTTCTTTTCTTTTTTTTTTAAAAAAGTCGAAAAAATATAGTAGAAGGGCAATTTCAATGTTCTCGAAATTTGGTTAAAAGGGTTATATTGTCAATTTTTTAAAAAAGAAAAAGTGTGGAGTGCTACTATCAAACATTTTATCGTTTGTGATACAATTTGATAATAATTTGTCTTATTGAATATTGAGATATATGTTTGTAACGCCCCGAAACCCGGCTTACTATTTTATTTAATTTAAAAAATTAATTAATTATTGGGTCGGTCAACATGAGGATTATTTTCAAACTTGCCTTAATTAATTGGGGGGGGGGGGGGGTTTATCCTATGTTGTAGAGCTCGCTGTTCTGAACCCGATTGCGCCAACGGATCATGAATCAGACCTATTGGGCCCAAGATAGGATTGACGAATCAGGTAATTAGGGTTAAGTTATCCTAATTGGTTAAATAATGTAAAGTGGACTCTAAATATATTTAATTATATACTCCGTAATAAACGCCTATGGAGGTTACGAAACTCCATTTTTGTAAGGAAAATGCTAGGGGTACACCAAGGTGTACCCCATTTGTCCCCCATCCCCTCCATCACCACTTAAATAGGCAAGAAATTTAAAAAAAATTAAGTAAATAAAAATAAAAAATAAATGAATGGTTATGGAAGGGGTGGTGTACAAATGGGGTACACACCCTAGCATCTCCCTTTTTGTAACGCACGACCCTCTCCCACCTCTGCCTGCCGTATTCCGTCACTGTACCGTCGACCAGAGACGCAGGCCAGGAAGCCGACGCCGCCAGTCGCCGCCGTCTCTCTCTCTCCGTTGCCGTTCCGTCCGCGCATCGCCGAGCAGAGACGCCGCTGCCATCACCGGGCACAGACGCCGTCGTACCTATCGCCGGTCGTCGCCGTCTCCTTCATCGCGTGCACCAGACCTGCGGGAACCAAGTTTGCAGCGGTGGTTCTTCCCTCAACCCTAGCCTTCAATTTCGTCAATTTTGAGGTGATTTGTTGTTTCTATACCTTCCGTTAGCGTTAATTCGTAGATTAGAACTTCCTTAACGTATAATTTAGTAATTGATTGTGAATTTGATTGTTAATTGATGAATTTGGTTGGGTTTGAAGAAATTGGGGGTTGAACACCGCCGGATTCCGGTGAGACGCCGGCGGCGGACGTCGGCAGGTCGGTCAGGGCTCCGACAGTGGCTTGGGTTGGCTGCGTGGGATCCAATTGGGTCCAATTAGTTCCCATTGGATTCAATTTGGGTCTAGTTGGGTTCAATCAGGTCCGTTCGGGTGCAATTGGGTGTAATCGGGTCTGTTTGGACTCAAATTGACGCAATTGGGGCTGTTTGGGATTGTTCGGGTTGCTGTGAATCACCCAATAGGGCTTTTTGGTCGGGCTACGGGCTCGGGCAGCCGGGTCGGCTACCGGCGGTAGTGCCGGGGTTGGTCTGGTGACAATGGGGACTGCTCCGGCGGGGCCAGCGTGCTTGAGGATTGATTCCTTGGGCTCGATTCCGCGCAGGTAAGTTGGGTTAATTGTAATTTTAGTTTGTTTGATTATGCATGACGGTAATCGTGGGTCTTTGGCCTGGATAGGCCGCTACGTGATTTGTTGTGAATTGTGAACTAAGAGTTAAATTAAATTGATCTTATTGATGAAAATTGTGGATTATGAATAATATATGGGAAATAGGCCACCTAGTATAATTAGGCAGACCTGAATTGGATTGACTGATTGAATCACCAATAGGATATGGTTAGGAAATTGGCCATTGCGGGGCGTCGTCGCACACCCGGTGGTCTTGGGTTAAAAACGTACGTACGGAAGTCCGCGACCTGTCCTGGCATCGGACAGGGCTTCAACCCGCCCAAAGTGAATCTCCTTTGGGTTTCTGAGCTGACTCTTTTATAGCATCGCTTGGGGTGCCATGACTCAAAGTAGTTGATGTGGAATAAAATAAGGACATGAAGTTCAAATGGAAGGTGTTAATATAAATATGTTTATTTAAGCTATTTTCCTCCGTGATCACATGTTCTTGTTGATTGTATGTTAATGTGGTGCTATTCTGTGAGTTAATGTTAGGTATATTTTCACTCAGCGTTTCACTGAGCGTGTAGTCGTTGTTGTTTGACTGCACGCAGGTAGGAACCCAGGACTAGATGAGCAACCCAGAGGCAGTGATGCGGCGTGATGTGGATGACTTAAGTGTTTACTGAACCCTTGAATTTCAATATTTAATTATTTGGACTTTTGGAATGTTATGTTGCTGTTAAGCTTCCGCAAGGTTTGGATTTATTTTCGTACTCTGATGAACTTTTGGGTTAAACTTAAATTATTGTGAGTGGTGTTTTTTTTTAATTATTAAAAAATGGTTTTAAATAAATTGTGCATGCGAATACCAACGTAGTGACAACCCGATTCGCAAACCCGTTGGTTCGGGTTACGCGGGTTGGGGTGTTACAATGTCTCTATATATAGGGATTACAAGAGAGAGTCTTATTCCTAGTAGGAAAGGAATAAAGTAATTATGGTAATACAAGAATAAGGAAACTAAATAAAATAATATTAGGAGTCTTCCTATTATCCCCCCGCAAGCTGATCAAAGGATACGAGGGGCAGCTTGGAACACAAATAATGGAACGGAGTCGGAGGAAGCGGTTTTGTTAGGATGTCAGCAAGCTGCTCAGAAGAAGGAACATGATGTGTAGTCATAGTGCTAGCCATAACCTCGTCTCGAACAAAGTGACAGTCAGAGCCAACATGCTTCATGCGATCATGGAGAACGGGATTCTTGGTGACACAGATTGTGGACTCATTATCACAATAAATCTTAGGTTTCGTAGGCAGAACATGCAGAGCATCCATAATATAACGAAGCCACATCGCCTCTGCCACCCCAGCGGCCATAGCGCGATACTCAGCTTCGGTGGAGGAGCGCGAGACGCGAATCTGTTTTTTTGTGCACCATGAGATAAGATTCGGCCCCAGCATAAGAAGATGCCCAGTGGTGGAACGACGATCATCTTTGTCATTAGCCCAGTCAGAGTCCGAATAAACAGCAAGATCAAGAGAGCCTTTTCTGAACAGAAGGCCATGAGAAGAAGTACCCTTCAAGTAGTGAAGAATACGTTTGAGAGCCAAGTAATCCTTCTCTGTAGGATTATGTATGGTCTGAGAAACTCGATTCACAGCATACTGAATATCAGGGCGAGTTACCGCAAGATAGTGTAGACCACCCACAAGGCTACGGAACAATGTTGGGTCGGAGAAGGTGGACGAGATCTCGTGGGTTAGCCGCGCCGCCATCGGAGTGACAGTGGGTTTGCAATCAGTCATGCCAGCCCGTTGAAGAAGATGAAAGATGTATTTTGTCTGATGAAGCAAGATAGTATCCGCAGAGCGACGAACCTCAATGCCAAGAAAGAAATCCAGCGGACCCAAGTATTTGAGGCGAAAATTTTTTATGCATAGCCTGAATGACAGCAGAGATGATGTCATCAACATATAGGAGAACAATGACCATGCCGCGGGAGCTGTGAAAAGTGAACAGACTGGTGTCATGACGACAGCACTGGAAGCCAAGTCCCTGCAAAAAAGTAGGTGTACCAAGCACGAGGAGCCTGTTTAAGG